ATGGCCAGGTGATGCACGGGGGCTGCCGTTGCTCACACGCTGCTCACACGCTGGCATCCTCCTCCATCCCTCCTGATTTGGACGGCAGCTCTGAGAGTGAGGCACGACCTGGGCTAACTGTCCAGCCTTCCTCCAGCTGGTGAATTGCTCCCTCTTGCTCTCCATCCACATCTTTGCCCTTCATGAGCTTCCGCTGCGTCTTGGGACGGGTTTCACTCCGTCTCAAGTCGGAGATAAGCCTTGCCAGGAGGAGGAAGGAGCTGATAGGGCCCACCCTGGCCAGGCTAGCTCCTGGTCATCCTGGAAGTTACACAAACACTGGGAGGAGAACACACAGAATGTCATAGCGGCATTTAAAAAGGAAGTGGGGGGGGCGGGGGGAGATCCTGGCGCTGGGGCCTGTCTCGTCCAACCCCTTTGAGCTTCCTACTAAAAAGGGGCATTTACTTCATCCTGGCTTCCAGGGGGAAAAAAATGAAAGACGCTCCGGTAAGGGAGGGGAAGAGAAAATAAATCGGCCACTTGTAGGTTCGGGGGCGTGTGTGTTTTAAGTTACTGCAAAGGTGTGGCTGCGTTTTGTCCCACAGAGAGTCTGGTGGAGCCTGTTGGATTATAAATAGTGCCGCGGTGAGATTTTATGACACGGCTGAGCCCGCGTTCCATTTCTTCGGCTTGCTGGCCGGGCGCCTGAAAGTCGTGCCGAGCCGCAGGGAGGCCCCGGGGCTGCTCCTCTTTGCTCTCACCGGCCACGGTTAGGTTCCCGTCCAAAGGTGACCTCCACGTCGGTCTGGTTTCTTGCGGATTATTAAAGTCTGGCAGTCCAGACTGCCTTGGCTGCAACATGGGCAAGGACCCCCCCCCCCACAATTCTGGCTGATGGGGAAGGAGAAAGTGCTCAGTTTATGTTCACGTGGTGGGCAGACACTCTGTTTACGCTCTAGGACACTCAGCTCTTTATAATTTCTTTGCACATTACTGTTTGTAGGCATGAAAACAAGTCCTGAGTCAAAATATGAAAAGCAGCGCCAGTAGGGATGGCGCTTGGGGGCAAGGCCTGGGCCCCTCACAGTCCTGGTGGGAGGGGGGGCTCTCCTAGACGGCGTGGGACAGTGGCAAAAGCACAGCCTCTGCAGCTGGACTGGTGTAGGCAGCCTGGTGCCCACGAATGACACATTTGCTGAGACATCCTTTTCCCTTCGTATTTCAAAAACAACATTTGTTCTCCAAGATGGTCAGCGAGGCACCAACCTGGTGACAGATGCTCGGTTTTAAATTTTAAAAGCATGTTATCCTTGCCTACAGCAAAGGGGTGCTCGCTTTCCAAGTAAATGTGTTTCCAAGTTGAAAAGCCCAGGGTGCACCAATAGTCAGTGTGGCCTAGTGGCTGGAGTGTCAGACGGGGACCCAGATCTAGTTTCTAGTCCTCATTGAGCCATGCAGTTCACTGAGTGACCTAGGGCCTGACGCAGACTCTCAGTCTAGCCTACTTCACAGGGCTGTTGTAAGGATAAAATAGGGGATTATTTACATCACCTTGGGCTTCTTGCAAGAGAAAAAACGTGAGATATAAATCACCACCACCATTTAAAAAGACATAGTGGTGTGACCTCTGGATTCTAAAATGAGGGGGAAAAGAGATAAACGGCTGCTGTGGCAACCAAGCCTTGGTGAAGTCATGAGATTGTAACTCAGCCAGCCAACAGCCGGGGCAAACCCGGGCGGACCCCAGACCCGAGCCAAACAGAGCCTGAGACGAGACTTAGAGCCAAAACCGGCTTTATTCTAGTGCACCACAGAATAAGGGCAGACAAAAGGACATTCAGCCCAAAGCAGCAACTCCAAAGTTGCACCCCAGTACACGCGTTTGATACCCCAGGCAAGCAATTAGGTCACCTAACACACACCTAATGCAGCGATACATCAACGTACGCACCCCTCCCGTGCTGGAGAAAGAGTCCTTCCTTCTGCCCAGGACCAGACATTTCCCATGCCTATTTCTTATCTGCTCGAGATTCACACGGGCTTGCCATGTTCTTCCTCCCTGCACATTTGCAACTTCCATGGCGGCTGCAACCCGTGTCCCCTGTCCCTTTGATTACCGCATTCGAGGTCAGGCTGGTGTGTTAGCTGCGGGTTACACAAAGGTCATTTTGTTCTTATCCCCCCTCCCTTCTGGGACAGTATAACTGTGGTGTTTTTACTATGTGGCCTTCCTCTGGCCAACTACTTTTGGGGAGTTTGGGGGTGCTGCAATTGGCAACAAGATGATGGACTGGTATGGAGATTTCGATGCATCTGGGCAGCAAAAGAAGATTCCTCTGGGCGCCAGTTGTCAGGAATGTACTGTATTTTACATGAATTTATACTGTGAACATTCATATACTCAAAGTATTTCTCTCTCTTGCTCTGTTTTTTTAAATCAGGGTTGGCAAACTGTGTTCGTTTTTGGCTGTAATATATCAGGAATGTGGAAGCAGATGGGAAGCATGGAATGTGGGCAGAGCAGGGGGAAGGCAGTGAGACGTTAACTGTCTGCTTCACAACTGAAATCAACCCTCAGGCAGCTGAAGTCCTGACCCCCCAGGACCCTTAAATCCAGGGTCTAAATGGACCGAACTGCACCTGTGTGGACAGCAGAACCCTGGCTCTGAATACAGGACGCTGCTTTATATGGAGTCAAGTCATCTTGGTCCATCGAAGCCAGTATCACCAACACTGACTGGCAGTTGCTCCCCAGAGCTTCAAGTCCGGTTCTTCTATAGTGGTCTCTGGAGAAACTGAACACACATCTTTTTCTTGGCCTCCCTCTTCTTCTGCCTTCGACTTTCCCCAGACTCTGGTCTTCTCAGGATGTATGACAGCTTCCATTTTGTCATTTGTGCTTCCAGGGAAAGTTCTGCTCGATTTCATCCAGAACCCCCTTTTTCGTCTTTTTGTCATTCCAGGGCATTCACAAATGACAAAACTGAAGCAAATGTCTTCCTACCAGCTATCTTGATTGTCCACATTTCACAACCACATGTACCAATCAGGAATACAAGAACGTGGATGATCTTGGCCTTACTCTCCAGTGAAACATCCTTAACTTGGTGATCTTTTCTAGTTCACTGCTACCCTTCCAAGAATTTTTGGACTATATAATTATAGTCTATTGTTCATGTTACAATTAGCATTTTTTAAAGATTCCAGGATGAGGGGACGGGGAGAAAAAGGGGTGCGGTGGCAGCCAGGCCTTGACCAAGAGACTTGACCAAGAGGTGGTGCATCATGGTTCCAGGAGTGGACCCTGACAGGCCCCAGGGAAAGGGAAGCTACTCCAGCCTAGGCTGGGATGGGCAGTTTGTAGCCCTCCAGATGCATTGGTCTACAGTTTCCATTGTCTGTTGACAAGGGCTGATGGAAATTGAAGGCCAAAACCCTTGGCAGACCATACTTTTCCTGTCTCAATCTAGTGAATGACAAACTTTCCCTCAATTTGTCATCTACCAGGATTGAATCTAATCCTGGGTTACAAGATAAGGGGCAATGAGCTGACTGATTAATGGATTTCAGTTTTGCTAAACCAGAAAGAAAACTCCACATTGCTGAAGTCTGTGCACCTCTGCGCAAAGCAAGAGACGATGTATGCATAAGCTCAGGAGTTCCATCTTTTATTTGACTATCTTTATCTGTTAGATGCTGGGAAACTTCTCTCTTCCAAAACAGCAAACCTTCCCTCTGCACAAAGAACAGAGGTGAAGACTTGGGGTTACTACTGGTGTTATCTTGGTGTTTTGGGGACCAGTGGCTACTGGCAAGAGGCAGGAGGTGTGGAAAGAAATAATTTGGCACTTGGCATGTGGGCCTTTTCTTAGCCTCAGTTGTGCCATGAAGTGCCTTGTACACAGAAGGTGAAGTGTGATCTATCAGGAAAGGAACTGGCAACCCTCCAAATTTTGCTGGATGCCAGCCTGTATCAAGCCTGATCGCTGGCCAAACTGCATGATGCGAGTCGTCGTACAACATCTGCAGGAGTACAGATTCTACACCCCTGCTATTATTTTTGCTGCTGCTGCTGCTAGATTGTCCAAATTCTGACTTACAGCAACTCTCTGAATGGTCCAGCTCAGCTATTGTCAATTCAAGGCTTGCTTTTTTCCTACCCGAACAATCCCAAGCGAAGGACTAGAACCAATGGGGACAAATGGCAGGGCTTGCGAAGAAAACTTCCTAGCAGCCCTTTGGCAGTGGGACAGGCAGCCCTGGGAAGGAGTTCTCCTTTGCTGCAGCAGAGGCTGGCTGACCATTTGTCCGGGATGCTGTAACTGCAACCCACACTGAAGCGCTTGCACACGGCCGATTAGATGGACTCGGAGGCGCCCTGTGGCTCTGCGAAGCCGTGCGCTTGCCTTAAGCACCGAGCGAGGAAAGGGCGCGGAGAAGCCCCGCTGGGAGGGCGCAGAGGTGCGCAACCCACGGCACATCCCACTCATCAGCGGCCCCCCGCTGGGGAAACGGGCCCTAGCCACCTCCTGCCTCGCCCAGCGGCGCCGCCGCCTCCCTTGCCTTCCTCCTCGTTTGCCAAGTAAGGAAATAACGAGCCCCCATTGCCCTGCTCAGCCTTCCCCAACCTGGCGCCCCTCGGAGGCGGCGGACTTCATCCCCATCATCCACAGCCGGCGGCCTCCCGCGCTGCCTGGGGATGATGGGAGCCGCTGCCCGGCACGTCTGGAGGTCTCCAGATTAGGAGGCCCTCTACGTTGCCCAGGCCAGCATCCTTCGCGAGGGAATTTCCCAGCATCCCTCGCTTCCCCAGCATCTTCCCGGGAGCGGCCATGCCCCCCCCCGGCCCCCCTCCCGTTCAGCATCCCGCCGTAACCAGCACGCGCCGTTTCGCCCTTCCTCGGCTCCTGTTTGGTGGAAGGAGCCACGTGATCTAGCGGGGCCTTGCCATTGATCGTCGACGAGTCACGTGGCGTTCACAGTCCCTTGGAAACGGGCGGGCGGGGCGGCCCCCGTGCAGCTGCTGTTGCTAGGCGACGGGAGAGTGAGCGGGGCCTACTGCGCCGTGGCGCGCCTTCAGGTAAGGGGGCGCCGTCGCCGGGGGGCGAACATGGCTGGGGGGCCCTCCTCTGTGTTCTGGTTTTGGAACCATCGGCCGCTGCCGATTCCTAAAAAGGAAGCCTCCCACTGGAGACTCTAATCCCAAAGACGTCCCCTTGTGGCTGTGTTGTGGCAAAGTCACTTTGCATATGCTCAGAGGCAGTGTCTTGTTTATGTATCTATTTATTTGAAGCACTTTCACCCGCCTTCAGTATGAAGGATTTGAAGAATAATTAACCGAGTAATGGCACCCACGCACAAGTGAGCCCCTGCCTCAGGTTTTTAGGGTTGCCATTTTTATTTTCTGGCAGGTCCCTCCTCGTTTCATGGCAATGCCATGACATGCAGAGCTTCAGCAGCTGATGCCTCTTCCATCACAGCATCTGAATGCTGGGAGGAGCTTCACCTGCTGAATGCCTGCCTGTCATACAATCCTATTACGAAGTTGGGCTTTATGAGGCCCCCTCTCATTTACTGTAACCTAGCAGCAGGTTTTTTTTTTTTTTTTACAACAAATGAGGGAAGAAATTAGTTTCTCCAAATGCAAACACCCAAGACTTCTTGAGCTGAGAGCTGTTTTTGAGAATTATGTGTACTTAAAACAGTTTTTTTATTTTAATGTCAAAATGCATGTAACCTTTATATGGAATTGCTGCTTCTCACAATCTTTGTACATAGCAAAAACAAGCATTACAAGTTATTGGAAGTTTTGTTACCTTTCTTTCCTTTTCCTTCATTCTTAAGAGGGCGGAAGCATCTTAAGCTCAGTTCAGGCAGTCAACCTGAATGAGCTGGTGGATTGGGAATTACTGCAGGATTGTGCATGCTTTACTTTGTTTGGGGTTCTGGTAATTTAAATTAGCATTTGCTGTAACCTCCGAGTTAGGCAACAGTGGTTAATGTGCTATTCTGATAATCATTTTTGCAAACACACTTAAAACAATGCTTTGAGTCATGATTTGGAGTTTATTGCTGACTATAGTTTGTATGATAATATGGACCATAGTATCCAACATTGCACTAGCAGAAAAAGTACAAGAGGTGGCATTCTGCTGGCACTTTCAAAGTGCTAGTGGAACTTGTGCAGCTAGTGCAAGCTGTACCTAATCTAAAAAGTTATAAGAAGTTGAGCAGTAATTGGTACTTAGGATGCCTTGCTCAATAGCTTGTGAAAGCAGACTTTGGAGTCTTGTATTTAGTACCTGTGCAAGAATGGCAACAGGATTTCTGCAAACCGTACAAGCTTTGTGGTAGGAAAAGCAATTAATGCAACCCTAGGGAAGAAACCTGGAAATGGAAGACTGAATTCGCACCTGTTGGATATGGGGTGCAGAGGAGAGAGTTGGGAGCCTGTGGTGTATTCAGATGCTGCAAACTTGAGTTGGAAAGATCAGAATGTAATGCCCTAATCAGTGATGTGATTTTTCCTGCAAAATTTCCAATGCAAGGTAAGTTAATGCTTTTTCTGACTAGCCAGAAAAGAATCAGGATTTGCATTCTGTTAGCAGTTGCAAAGTAATTTGCTTAGGATTTTTTTCTATTTGTGCTGGAAAATGTGGTGATACCCTAGAACAGAAGTGGGTAGCTTGTGACCCTCCAGATGTTATGGCCTAGAACTCTTATCATTCCTAACCGTTGAAAAGTCTGTCAGCTGCCCACCTTCTCCTAGTCCAGGGGTCGGCAACCTTTAACACTCAAAGAGCCATTTGGACCCGTGTCCCACAGAAAAGAAAACACCGGGAGCCGCAAAATCCTTTTGACATCTAAAATGAAGATAATGCTGCATATATCGTTTTTTACCTTTATGCGATGATAAAAAAACTAGTGTGTTGCATTTATGAAATCAATGAACTGCTACAGAGAAAACAAATTTTTATTTCTGCATGCAACAAAAATATTTTGAACTTTGAGATGTTGGGCTGAAGGTTACTTTCAGATAAAATACTCAATGTCTGTCTATCTATCTATCTATTTATTTATTTAGGGGACTTCTATGCCGCCCCATTCGCCAAAGCCTCGGGGCGGCTCACAAACCGTAAATAAATAGAATACAATAAAATTATATAAATTAACAATATAAATTAAGTCGCCCTGGCCAAAGAACAAAATGAATAAATAATATTAACAATTAAAATAACATTTGAATAAAAAGGTCTTCACCTGGCACCGAAAACAAATAACGACGGCGCCAGGCGGACCTCTCTGGGGAGCGCATTCCATAGATTGGGCGCCACTGCAGAGAACGCCCTCCTCCGAGTACTTACCCTCCTAATTTCCTTCACGGAGGGTTCCCAGAGAAGGGCCTCTCCCACTGATCTCAAGCAGGCATGTGGAATCGGCCTTCTGAGATAGGAGCGGAACCACTGCAAAGCAGTGCCTCCGACCCCCAATCCCGCTAACCTGTCCAGAAGGATACCATGGTAGATGGTATCGAAAGCCGCTGAGAGGTCCAGAAGAACCCACAGGGACGCACTCCCCCTGTCCTTCTCCCTGCACAGGTCATCATACAGGGCGACCAAGGCAGATTCAGTACCGTACCCGGGTGTGAAGCCGGACTGAAATGGGTCCAGATAATCAGTTTCATCCAAGAGTGCTTGGAGTTGTCCCGCCACCAGTCGCTCCAACACCTTGCCCAGAAACGGGAAGTTGGCCACTGGTCTATAATTAGTGGCCATCTCTGGATCCAGTGACGCTTTCTTCAGGACCGGTCGGACTAGTGCCTCCTTTAAAGGGGCAGGCACCCGACCCTCCCTCAGAGAAGCGTTAACCACTTCCAAGATCCAGGTCCCAATCCCGTGCTTGTCATTGTTAATTAACCAAGATGGGCAAGGGTCCAATAGGCAAGTGGTGGGACGTCCTCGTCCAAGCACCTTGTCCACATCATCAGGCTGCAATAACTGAAATTCATCCATTAATTTTGGACCAGGCGGCGGCATTGGTATCTCCCCAGAAGCCTCTGAATCACTAGTAGAGTCTAGCTCGTGACGAATCTGAGCGATTTTCTCCCTGAAATGCTTGGCAAAGTCGTCACAGCGGGCCTTCGAGGGTGAAACCAGATCTTTCTTAGGGCCAGGACGGACCAGCCCTTGTACCACCCGAAAAAGCTCTGCCGGATGGCATTTTGAGGAGGCAATGGAAACGGAGAAGAATTTCTTTTTCGCCACCCTCACCGCCACAGCATAGGCCCAATAATGGGCTCTTAAGTGTGTTCGGTCAGATTCATCCCATGATCTCCTCCACCTACACTCTAGCCGTCTCCCAGCCTGCTTCATCGCCCACAATTCAGATGTATGCCAAGGGGAAGAGTGGCCTCTGCCTGGCGGGAGAGGACGCTTAGGAGCGATCGTGTCCACAGCTCTGGTCATCTCTCCGTTCCACAGTTCGACCAGAGCCTCGACAGGAGCACCAGTCTTGTCAGCTGGAAACTCCCCCAGGGCCTTCAGGAATCCATCCGGATCCATCCGGCTCCGGGGGCGGACCCACACAATCGGGTCCACTCCCTTACAGAGGGAGTGGCCGCTCTCGAGCACAAACCTCACGAGGAAGTGATCTGACCATGACAGGGGTGTCAGACATAAATACTCACCCTCAGACCACCCTCTTCCTGCCCTGTCAAGAAAACCAGGTCCAGAGTGTGTCCACGTTCATGGGTCGGGCTGGAGACATGTTGAGACAGCCCCATGGCCGTCATGGAGGCCATGAAGTCCTGAGCCGCCCCGGTCAGACCAGTCTCGGCATGGAGATTGAAGTCCCCCAGGACCAACATCCTGGGGGTCCTCAACACCAGGTCCGAGACGATCTCTGTCAGCTCAGGCAGGGAGTCTGTTGGGCAGAAGGGTGCACGGTACACCAACAGAATCCCCAATCTGTCTCGGTCACCCAACACCAAGTAGAGGCACTCCAGCCCTGGTCTTGAAGGGACTGGAAGTCCTGTGAGGGAGACGGAGGCTCGGTAAACCAAAGCGACCCCACCTCCCCTCCCCTCCAGGCGTGGACGGTGCTGAACCAAATACCCAGGCGGGCACATTTGAGAGAGGACGACATCCCCCCCTCTCCCACCCAGGTCTCTGTTATGCAAGCCAGGTCAGACCCCTCATCCACAATCAGGTCATGGATGAGGGAAGATTTATTGTGGGCCGACCTGGCATTAAGCAGCAGCACCGTCAGGCCCGAGGGGCGGTTGACAAGACTACCTGGAACCCTCTGGCTGGGGGTAAAACCAGAAGGAGGGACAGGTGTCAGCCATCTGTCCCTCCTTCTTCTATGCGGACACGTTGAGCCCCCACTGCTGTAACGTCCATTGCCTGTGACCACCCCAATGGCGGAGCCCACGCGCTCCCCAGGAAATTCAAACGTCAACATGGCCAGGGATGACTCCATAAAAACAAAATTAAAATACTGTAAAACAGTAAAAACTCCCCGTCAACCCCCCTGATACAAAATTCCACCCACCGACCTAGCCCCCCGCCAGCCCCGCACGGCCACAAACGGCAGCAACCGTCCTGTCTATTTGAGTCCTCCTAGTATTTATGAAATAAAAAGCCAAACTTAAACTATCCACCTGCAGCAAACCAAACATGCGGTCTGCTTCTGCGTGCCCTCATCCTTTTATCACGTCTACTGGAGGGTGCAGTCAGCTGTCCACCTGAATAAAAAAAGCACTAACTGATACTTTCATTCAGTAAGTAGAGTTTCTGCAATACAACAAATATAAATAATAGTCTGGTGAAATATTGAACAAACATCCCTCTCCCAATTTTTATAAGAATCTTCTTAAAACAAGGAAATAGATCTATATCTTCATTATGATTTAGCTGCAGCTCTTGTTCGGTCACTAAAAACTGTTATTTTTAATCTTACATTATAAACTAGTAGGACTCCTTTCATATATTTTAAATAGAACAGCTTCCTGAAGAATCAAAGTCATTGCTAAGGGGCTGCATGCATTAACCCCATAAGTTTGTCAGCAGTAAAAGCAAATGAATCTACTCACGTACCATTAAACGTTCGGTTTTCTTCAGAAACTTTTCTTTTCTTCGATTTATCCATGGTTGGCCTACCAGGGGAAAAAGCTCAGTAAACTTGTGCGGGTTGCAGATTGCTGCCTGCCTGCTGGGTTGCAGATACAGGTGTGTTCAGTGACTGATTAGCAGATAAACAGTCAAGTGCTGTGAATTGTGACAGGTCCCAAGCACAGCTTTTAACATTCAGATGAAGGAGATGACATTGGGACAAAGAGAATCTTTTCAGCAGCTTTTCATGTAACATGAGAGCCTGTAGGAAGCTTGTTCCACTCTTTCCCTGCACAATAGCAGAGGAATGTAGCGATTTACTTAACCAGCGATCGCAGTCTTCCTGAGTGGATGCCTCATCATCACCTGTTGGTATTTTGTAACTTGGAGCCTCGGGTGCAGATCAGTGACCATGCCAGCAGCGACGGAGCCGCAGCAGAGGGATTCAAGAGCCACATGCAGCTCCGGAGCCGTGGGTTGCTGACCCCTGTCCTAGCCAGATCTACTTTAGCGTGTTTAATGTAGTTGTATTTAATAAACAACAGAACTAAAAAAATCTAGTTCCAGTGCACCACAAGTATTAGACTTGAAATATTTGAGGAAGATAATGAGAGCATGCTTAGGGCTCCGCCTGATTAGTTATGGCCTTGCCACCTGGGAGCCTCTGAACCGAGCGGGTTCTAAGATCTGTATGCCCTACCAGTGATGCAACAGAGGTGGTAGGAGTGGTCTTCACCTCCCTGCTCTGCTTTTGGTGAGTCTTGCGAGGGGAACACAAGGTATTTTGTATCCTGGTGTTTTGGTCTCCTTGTCACCCCATCCACCAGAATGTTCCCTTTCCTCCTCTGAAGTTGCTTTGCTGACCTAGGGGGGCAGCCCATGCAGTCCATTCTGTACCAGCTGTGACGGGGAGACTTCACTTCCGAGGCTGGAGTGTGGTCTCTAACCTTGAAAGCTTCTATCTGAGCAGTCCTCTGGTCCCTGGGTTGCACTCTTAATGTGATTTAAATGTTTTTGTTGTGTAGAAATACTTACTGGCATATCTGTAAAAATGTCAAGACCATATGCATTTCCCTAACTTTGTTTCAGTTTAAAAGACCAAGGTACTGAGAGCTAGTTAATTTTAGCAACCCAGACAAAAAGGCATAATAGGCTGAAAAACACTCATTTTCGGCTCTTCTGCACTAAGGGTTTCTGTGCCTCACAACAGAGTATTATGTTGCAGGCCCCACTTGAAAAGTTTAATTATAAAGCAAGATGATTTGTATGAGTTAAAAAACTAAAGTAGGTTTGAAATGTATATTCTTTTTTTACAGTGTATTTCTGTTCAGAAATGCACAGTCCTTCACCTTCACATTTTGTTGCAGGTCACTTGTCAGAGCTATTTGATATTCGACGATGGGCGATGTCCTTGCATATGAAGCAGAGCTACTTGGGATGGTGAAGGAGGTGAGTGTTTTGTTCAGAAGGAGGCATGTGTTTCATGAACTTCCACACAGTGTTCCAGAATTTTTATTCTTCTGTTGCACGTTGTTACTTTGAGATAATGTAAACTGGTTGCTTTGTTCTCCTTGCTTGACCAATATAAAAGGTAGTCCTTCATGCAGGGCTTAGTTGAACTGCAAAATTCACTGCCACAGGAGGTAGTGATGGGGACGGCTTTAAAGGGGGATTGGATCAATTCACGGAGGAGGCGGCGGCTATCCGTGGCTGCTAGCCTGCTGTCTGTCTGCTTGCGCCATCACCAGAGGCAGCATGCCTGCATACAGCAGTTGCTGGGGCAGGCTGAGCTCTTGCCCAGAACCCATTCTGCCTGAGGGATCCTGTGGGCAGCTGGTTTTCAACCATGTGAATGGATGGCTGGATTGGGTGGACCTTTGGCTTTTCTCATGTTGTCTGTTCCTACGTTTGGTACGGCCTCCTTTGCTGTAAGGAACTCATTTTGATACTGCCTCTACTTTAGTGTTAAGGCCAGCACTTGTTACAGTTGTCCTAAGCCAGGATTTTCCAAAGCCTGCTTAATTCTATGCTTCTTTTACAGCCTCAGGTTTTGTCTTATTTATTTTTTATTATTTATTACATGCTTATACTGTTCAATAGCTGAAGCTGTCTGGGTGGTTCATAACAATTAAAACCAGAAAATACAACATAAGATAAACAAGATACATAGATATAAAAGTTTAAAGCTGTAGTATCAAGCAGAAAGAAAAAACAAAACAAAACCTAGCAGCAGTGCAAGGATTTAAAATGCAGTAACAGATTTAAAGCCACAGAAACTAAAAGAGGGAGGACTTTACCTGGCTCTGGATGTAATACAGTGTAAGCACCAGTTGTGAAGCAAGGAAGAGGACGGTCTCTCAGAACTTTTGTCCCAAAGAGGATTTGTTCTGTTCTTATGGCCTTTTGTAATCTGCCTTTGCTCATGACTTTTAATAAGAATTATGCAGACAGATTCTTATATGCCTTCTTGTGTCTGTAGTATTTGGACTTTGCAGAATTTGAAGATACTGTGAAAACATTTACAAAGGAATGCAAAATAAAAGGAAAGCCATTACCTAAAACAGGAGGTAGCTCTGTGAAGGACTCCAAGGCTCTAATCATTCAGGTAACATCTTTCTCTTCTACGAAAGTAAAGTTTGATTGGATGGAAAAAATCAGGTGTCTCAGCTTCTGTGTTGGAGCATTTCTATGTGACTGTATTACCATTTTTGATATGTACGCGTTAGGTGAAAATGAGGCTTTTACATGGCACACAGAAATTTGCTTCAGAAGCAAGCATGTGTGCCATATTGGCAGTAATTCCTGAAGAATGTACCAGCTTAATTCTATTTCTTGAGTTATTAGATGTATATCCCATTAATTCTGGGATTGCTCTAGCCTGCTTGTTAGTTTCCCATATCAGGTGCATTGTAGGGTCTTCCTGATGCTGTGTTCCCCTTTATTCTATCAGTCCAACATCCACTAGTTGTTCCTTTCTGGGGCCCACTGATAAGAAGACCCAAGTAATTAGCCATGATTAAATTTCCCAGAGCTTTGGCTGTTAGATGTTACCCTTTTCCCGATTTACCACATAAATTATTTGGTATCATGTGCAAACTGTGCCACTTCACCCCATCTACAGATCATTTGGGGCAAACTGAAATATCCTAATACAGCTCCTTGGGGAACCCCAGCTTGAATATTTCTCCATTGTGGGAACGACTCAATTATTTGCTTCTCCTTTGTGTTCTTGATCCTCAAGGGACATATCCTGCTATCCTCTGAGTGCCATGTTTGCTTAGGACCCTTTGGCAAAGGACTTTGTACACTTCAGCTTCCAAACAGCTTATGGCAATGTCTATCAGATTACCCCTCTCCATGTGTTCACTGACCTTCTCAAAGAATTTTATTTTTATTTTTTTGATTTTTCGATTTATATCCTGCCTTTTTCCTACAAAGGGCTCAAGGCAGCTTACATCATTCCCCTCCTCCATCTTATCCCCACAACAACAACCCTGTGAGGTAGGTTGGGCTGAGAGTCTGTGACTGGCCCAAAGTCACCCAGTTGACTCCATGGCTGAGCGGGGACTCGAACCCGGATCGCCTGAGTCCCAGTCCCATGTCTTCACCACTGTGCCACACTGGCAAGAATGCTCAACAGTTAGTGAGGCAGGACTTACCTTTGGAGATGCCATGTTGACTCTTCTTTGGGAAGAGCTGATATTCTGTATACTTGATCATTGTATCTTTGATCATGCTTCCCATCACTGTAAGCTGCTTTGGGTTCCTTGCAAAAGGAAGAAAGGCAGAATACACATGTAATAAATAAATAAATTAATTAATAAATCAGCACCACACGACATCACCCATTATAGCAGAATGACTCTTTGGAGATGATGATGATGATGATGATGTACCCAGAATATGCATTGCACAAATCAGCCTGTGATGTTCTGGATTCCTCCCAAACTGGCATCATACTGGCCACTTTCCAGTCCTCTGGTTGTCCATCTCAGTTGAAGAGGATAGCTGAAGCTGGCTGGCAACTCCAACCCCAGTACCAGGGTGTGTAAGTAAGTCCAAGTATTGGACTTACTTAAAAGTAACATGAGCTCTGGAAATGGGCTAAACTGGATAGAGCCTTTCCTCCACTAAGCACAAGCTGGATGGAGGTGGGAGGAATCGCCTATTTTTCTGCTGTTTTCCGTTTTCAGATGTTTTAAGGCATAATGTTACGTTGTAAGCTACCCTGGGCCTTAAAATTAAGAACAAACATTGCTGTTGAACATCTGTCATAAATGCTTCTCTAAGTGCTCATAAAGTTTGGAGTTTGTTCCAGGATGGAGCCCTTAATTAGGTGCTCTTGATCAGTCTAATGCACAAATTGGTTTCTGAAGATGTTTAGAAAGGGCTTTTTGGAGCTGGTACATGTAGAAATTAGGTATTTTCAGCTATAGTACTGCAGGAAATGAGTTGTCAGATGCATAACGACTCTTTTATTTCCTTTGGAAGGATCTGCTAACGTCCTTTACTGATGGAGACCAAGAAGTCTTCTTTGAACTCTGGGAGGAACATATCCCCTCCCCGGTCCGAGACAGTGAGGCTGTTGCCCAGAAGCTGGAGTTCTACCTTCACATCCATTTTGCCATTTTCCTCTTGAAGCACGCAGTGGGAAAGCCTGTATGTTTGCTTTTCTCTCAATTTGGTCTTTGGCTTTTTGGGTGTTCGGTCAAGTGAGTGGAGGAGGCCGCGCAGCAGTTGTGTGTTTTAACTCCAGGGGCTGGTCCAGCCAAGGCATCAGTTCTGAGGTTACTTAGGCAGAAACAAAGCCACATGTCAAAGATGAGGTGCAATTTATTGAATTCAGTAATGAAATAGGGATGTAAAATATAAACAAGTGAAAAGGAGTTTATGTTCCACTTTACTTGTGCTCATTTCCTGACTAGGCCACGGGACGTTCCATAGGCTTCTAACGTTTTTTGGGTAGACATGCAACTGACGTGAACTTCTTTGTCATCTCAGTTCTTCTACCCAGGCCAAGAATGAAAGACAAGACTTCTTGCCAGGGATTTATGAAGTCCCCCCTCCCGCTGCTCTACGTTTTGTCACTATGCACAGTCTCTCAATGCCGCCTCACCTTCCTGGGAGCAAAACTGCTTCCGTAAGGCAAACAGCACAGGCACCCCTTATCTGCAGAAGGCCTGCAGGCCTGCAGGGTGCAGCTTTAAGGCAGCTCTTCCTGCTGACTCTCTTCGTAATGAGCTGAAGGCCATGGAGCCTTGGCACGCCTTCAAACTACCCTGGCTTTTGGACACTGGGGAAGCATCCCAGTTGAACTTCAAGAACCTCCTTGCCAAGCTTGTGGTAGGAGCATCATAATACACCGTATCTGTGTACAACCCATTAGAGTCAACCCCGTCCCTGTTAGCTTTTAGATGATGCTGGTGGCTTTGGACAGCTTTATACTGAGGCGGTCAGGCTGCATCCTAAGCTGTGCCATATGGCAAAGTTGCAAAAAATAAACATGCCTCCCTTACTTTCTCCCTGACATGTTAGCTTTCTTGTGCCAAGTATTATTATTGTTTAATATGGAGGGAAATTCCATTATGTGAGCCTACACTTTCAGTCCACAGGGTTCCACCCATTTATTTACTAAACTGAGGCACTCCTTCAAGCTGTTGTTTAGAGCCAGGCTTGTGTTCATATGCGCCATCCTCCTCTTAATCTGTGTAGGGAGGAGATTGGAAAGTTCTGCTTCTGTCTGGCTGCAGCTCATGCTTTTCTTTTGTACTGTTTTCATGAACTGTTGCAAACCAGCCAGAGAGCTTCAGTGATTGGACAGTATAGAGATGAGATGACGATGATGCAATAATTATTAATAGTTTTCCATTGTTCCAGTGGAACAAGCCATGTTTCACTTGGGTTTGTGGGAAAATATGGTCTGGGCAAACCATGCATTGCTGCATGCAAACACTAGTGCACTTCAGAAAAGAAAGCTTCCTCTCTCCCCTTGTGGGTGGAGGGAGGGGGAAAGGAGAGAAGGAATTCATGGGGCTCACTGGTACTCGTTCTGGATCTTTCAAATAATGCTTCGCCACATTGGTGGCCTGGTCTTCCGGTGCAGTCCTTAACATATTTACTAGGGAATAAGTCCCATTGAACAAGCTGGACTTTAGTTTCTGAATACGCATGAATAGGATTCCACTGAGTACCAAAATTTTTATATTCTGCTGTCTTACACGCAAATAAAAAGCGCCTCCTGTTTACCAGGTTGTCCAGCTGGCAGGAGTAACCATGTCTGTACATAAGAGAGAGCATCTAAAGGACGCTGCTTGTGTCTCAGCAGTGGATTGCCATAGAGAACTCCATTTTTTAAAATACAATGTTCAGGATTAGGTTGAAAAGAACTGGCATAAGCTTTAATCATACTTATGCAACTGGAGCAACATCCATCTCTCTCACTCGCACACACACACAAACGCACAATCAGGGATGTTTGTCCCGGTAATATAGCACAAAAATAATTCAGCAGTTGTGAATATCACCTGCTGTCTGTCTGCTGTACTTAATAGGTGAGAATTGATGCCTTCTAGAAATACAGACTCCTGTTGTGTGGCCCTTTGCATTTTCCTACCTTGGGTCCCTGCTCAGTTAGAACAGCTGGACAAGTGTCATAATCTGATTTGAATCTAAAATGCAGGTACATTTAAAGTAACTCTCACAAAAGCTGTAGAACAAGGAATTTTCTGTAACTCCAGTCTTCCTGGTAGAGCAGGCATAATTAAAAACTCCTCTTTTTTGGTTTGAAGATTGTCTCCAAGCAGTTGCAGATTTAGAGTACTCAAAGCAAGTCACTTGTATTGCTTCTGTAATCCTTCTAACAACCATGTCAAATAGATTATTATCCTTGTATTTTGCAGCCAGGGTCCCTGAAGCTGAGAGTGGTTTGGTAGGAGTAAGATCTCAGTGGGAGTCTTCTTGGTTCTTGGCCACTGCTCTTCCCATGCTTAAGGATGTTTTTATGTGCAAGGCAAGGGAGCAGTAGGACAAATACCTGCTTTTATTTAACAGTTTGTGGTCCCAGAGTTGCTTCTATTTCTGTCATCCTATTCCCTTTCCTGCATCCTTTCTAAGCACTCTATTGTGGGATGAGAGAGTTCATGCAGAATGTAAACTTGTGCTGTGGAGTTTGAGGGAAACTGAGTTTGAGATGCCTGCATTAACTGATTTATAAAACCAGTGAACCCACAGTAAGCTGCAACTTTTTGGCAGCTGTCAGTCACACTTTGCTTAAACTGTAAAGTTCCTTTCCAATTAGTCGATGTGTTTCTTTTTCTTTTTCAAAGCATAAAGCAGCTTTGGATGAAAGGATTTCGTATTTTAAAACTTACCTGGAGACCAAAGGGGCAGCCCTGAGCCAGACTACAGAATTCCTTCCATTCTATGCCTTGCCTTTTGTTCCCAATCCTATGATCCACCCATCCTTCAAAGAACTTTTCCAGGTATGTACGTGATTTGTTCTGGAATGATACATAAAACTGATGGATGCAGAATAGGATCTAGGCCAGTAAGGTTTATATAGTAGTGTTTGTTTAGTTACAAAGTCATGCCCGACCCATCATGACCCAATGGACATTATTCTTCCAGGCTCTCCTGTCCTCCATCATCCCTCGGAGTCCACCCAAGCCCACACCCACCAGCCTAGTGACTCCATCCAGCCACCTCAACCTCTGCTGGCCCCTTCTCCTTTTGCTGTCAGTCGTTCCCAGTATCAGGGTCTTCTCCAGTGAGTGGTTCCTTCTCATTAGGTGGTCAAGGTTGCCTTTTCTGTGATTCAGGGCAGGCAAGTTGTAGTCTGGGGACAATCCTCAAATATTTGCATGTTTTTCTATTAAACACCATCTTGGTGTTTACTTAATGCAACTTACTGTTCTTTTGGTCTGCTGCCTTGACACAAGTCAGATAGAACACTTAACAAACTGAGAGTTCCTGAAGGAAACAGATGATGGTCAAGCTGAGTCACAATGCATTTATTCATATATCATTTGCATACGAATTCAAATAAATTACTCTGTTAATTTATTTACAAACTCCAGGCCAGCCTGGTCACACAGTCCAGCTAACTGATAATATCAAGGAAGAGAACAGAATAGTTTACAGTTTCTTTGTAGAGGAGCTCACCAGGAATGGAGAGAGGTAGCTTAGATGTTGATCTAAGAGGTCAGTTAAATACATATGAATGGAGATTTAAAATCTTACCACTTAAAATTAGCACGCTGAATTGTTTTTGGAAATAAATTGGTATCCATTAAAGATGGTATGTTACTGGGAGGGTTATGCTTTTTATGCTTTGTTCCTGTCACAATTCTGAAGGCCTCATTCTGGACCAGTTAATATTTCTGACTATTTTTCAACAGCAGTTCCATGTAGAGAACATTACATGCATCCAGCCTAGATTTATGACTTGGTGAACACAATCCACCATGAAATATTTATTTTCAGACAGTATTGTGCTCTTGTGCTGCTTCCATGGTGTTTGTGAAGGATACATTTAGAGTGGGTTGTATCTTTACAAAAGCTCACTCCTATTTCCTATGCCTTGTTTGTGTTTTTGCCATCTCTCTAACAATGCCGGTAGCTTTCTCTGCATAACTCAGATCATCAGATTTCTTTGTATTTCATCTGGGAAATAGTTCTGATTTTCTTGTTGATTTTTAAAAGAATAATAATGTGGGACATGTATTATAGCAAATAACTGTCAGGAAAATAGAATTGTGTGCATTTCTTTTGCAGGAGTCATGGGAGTCTGATCTAAAAATGAGACTGGAAGAATTCCTGTCTGCAACTCTAAAAGCCAGTCATAATCCAAGACTTTTGACATTATATGTATCCTTTGCAAAATGTTCTAAAGATATTTAAATTACTGTCATGGAGAATCAGTCCTTTCCAGGGAGAGGAGTTAGTAGGGCTCTCAGCCAGTTAAAAACAACATGCAGCCTGATCATTATACATTTGAATATGAACAAGACACTCATTTTAAGGGCAAGGGTGTTTTTAGTGATTAACATACAATGAGCAGCAAGAAAAAGCTGAGGACCAGTGTGGTGTAATCGTTAGGAGTGCAGGCTGGATGGACCCTTGGTCTGATCGAGCAGGGTTTTTCTTATCTTCTTAATTAATATTGCAGGGTAAAAATTAGGCAGAAATTCAGGATGGAACCACACATTCTGCTTTAGCTAATAGCTTTAAAGCAGGGGTGGGCAACTTGAGACCCTCCAAATATTTTGACCTGCGGCTTCCATCAGTCCTCGCCATCCCTAGTGGTGAGGGATCATGGGAATTGTAGGCCAAAACCTGTGCTTTAATTATCCTATCTTTGTTGAAGGTGGGATGGTACATTTTGCAGGATAAAGCCTTTGGGGAGGAGGAGAGCACTTAACCTTTTCCTTGCCTGCTGAATTGCCACCTGTTACTTTCCTCTTGTCCAGGCTGCAGGCTCCTATCTGAGAAGCATGGAAGTTTCTATTGTAACTTTGGGGCTGGAGTGTGGGATTGGGGTGGTGGGAGAGCTGCTAGGGAGAAATTGCAATGTGCAACCAGTGGGTAAAGAAAAGGTTAAGTGTCCTTCTCCAACCTTCCCAGCCCCGGTCTATACAGAAGAAGCAAAACTAGGGTTAAAAATGCAACTTTCAAATGTGCCAGTGGCATAAACTGACACAGATGGATTAAAACCTCTGGAATGGCACTCGTGTAGATCTTCCTCCTCTTTCACATCCCAAAGGAAAACAGGCAGTTAATTCTCAATGTTTGTCACATTCTAACCAGATCACCATGGTTGAGAACTTGGGTGGCGTTTGCCAGAGGGAGAGCTGTCCCTGTGTGAACCTACACAGTGGCGATCTCCGTCAATGTCTCCTGGACCTGGGGGTGCCAGGATCCATCCAGCATATGAGTCTACAGAGTTGGCTGCGTCATTAGAACAGTGTAAAAGCCGGGATGCTGAGGGTGCCGGTTTGAGCCCCTGATGTTTCCTTCTAAAGGGAATATCAGGTAACAGGGCAGGAAAATATATTTCAGCCACAGAGACCACAAACCCGTCAGTGAAGCAGCGCAAGTTGGCTGCGCGTGTTCTGCTAACCTTTGTCTGAGCTGTGCAACTAGAAGCAGGCTAGGCGGCTCCATGTCCTGTGTTCTTAGTTAGCCCCATCAGACGAGGGTGCTTGGCTCAGCAGGCGAGCAAATACTTTGTCCGTTGCTGTCGTATCCAGCTCAAAGGCCCACGTTGCAAGGGCAAGAATGTCCTTTTTTTCTGCTGGAAAGCGGTTCCCAGCCAGAATAGGCATCAGGCTAGATGGATGAATAGCCGCCTATGTTCCAGGTTGGTGGAGCAAATGCTGACCTGTGCAGCCTCTTACGTGGGCATCCCCTTCCTCTCTTCTGCCCACTGTGTTGCTGAAATCAGCCCACAGCCACCCTCGGCAAGAATCGCAGGGGAGATGCACTGGGGAGTCTCTTAGGAAGACGCTAAGAAGATGGTTTGAATAGGAGGCAGGGAGTGCGGTGCCATCTTTCACTGTATGCCAGAAGTAGGAAGCATGTGAAGGTGTGGACATACCACATGAAAACAAAGAGCCCCGCTGGGTCAGACCAAAGGTCTCTCTCTGTGTTCCCACAGTGGCCACCCTGGTGGCTGTGGGAAGCCCACAAGCAGGACAGGAGGGCAGCTGACTGCCGCATTTGTGTCCCCAGCACTGGAACTGGGAGGCAAGTTGACCCTGATTCTGGAAGCAACAAATCCATCCGATACTCTTATTTTCTGCAGGCTTTTTCCCTTCCTGGATTTGTCTGATTACCATGCATTCTAGGTTGGTGGCCACGCATCATCTCTGGGCAGCACATTGCCAAGTCTAACTATGTACTATGTGAAGCCCTTTTTAATCTATGGTGACATGCCCACCAATGACCCCACTGGGTTCTAGTATCATGAGAGAGGGAGGGAATCCTTCTTTCATGTTCTGGAACAAGTCACGTATAGCCTTGGTTCTTCATCTGTATCTGTGTCGGATTGATTGTCTGGGGAAAATTCCACAGGGATTATGAAGAATGATGAGGTTCAGTGGGCTTTCTTCAGAGGCGTCAATCCCCATTTTCCTGAACTTGTGTTCTCTCACACGGCAGAAGGAGAGCACACACTGCAGCCAAGGTACACAAGGCGTTCGACACATGTGTTCTCATGTGCCAATCATATATGTGCCTGTCATGTATTTAGGTTCTGCTTTCCGGAGCCAAGCAGAGAAGCTAATCGAGGAAGTTGGAAGGGCATTTCCTGTTAGGTTCTGAGCATCTTTCTCACATTAAAATTGATTACTGAGGTCTGCACCAATGCAAGTGTGCATTTAAGTTCTGTTCTTCAGTTTTTAATGACATTTTAATGACATTTGGAAGCAGTTCAGAGCTGCCTTTAGGAGAGAAGATTAAGGGGAAAGAAAACATTTTCAAATGGTGCTTTCTCCATGAAGCTAACTTGGTGGCTGGTGCAGGATATTTGCTGGGAAGCATCAGTCGATGAAAACAAATGCTGAAATACACTTGTGTCTACTGATTCTTCCTGGTCGATACCCCACATCATGGGCCGAGAGGAGTAATTTCTCCTGATTCTTGCCAATGTTGGGAGAAGCCTAGAAAAAATGCTTTGCTTAACCGTGCCCAGCAAAACACTAGACAGGTATTTAGTGGTTGCAGCTGTACCATTTGTGTTGTCAGAACAAAATGAAAGGCGTTTTGATGGAGGGAGAATTGAAAGAAATGTCCTTGGAAAGTTTCTCAGTTTTTCTGGCCTACCGAAGTTTTTGCTGGGATAGTGCAGATTTCAGGGTTGGCATACTTACCAAGGAGCCAATGCACTGCTCACCAGTTCCCTCTTGGAAAGGTCATCTATTTTCCTTTCCAGCTAGGTTCCAAAAACCAGTATTCCACCCTCTGGGGGCCATAAGCGAGAAGAATCTGCTGGCACCTGGGGGTGTTATTAGAGAATTGTAGCTCATTAGCAGAGCACCAGGTTGGCATGCAAAAGCTTCCCAAACTCTCCAGTAGGACTGGCAATGATCTTGTCTGAAATCCTGGAGAACCCTTCCTGCCAGTCAGAGCTGGTGACACTTTGTGGTCGGATGCAGCAAGGGTTTGACTTGGTATGAAAGCCTGCCATGCTTGCCCGTCCACCCCTCCCTTCTGCTGGTTCCCCCCTGTGAGTGCCACCCCCCCCTTGCACCTGCAGTTCCTGCCACCTCAGCAAATACGATCTCAGCTGGGTCATTAATCTGAGCCAGCTCAGCTGTATTTTGAAGGTGGAGCAATCCTTGTGAAGCTTGCTGTCCTCGGTAGAGAACAGCACAGGCGGCAACAGTCTACAGGGGCTCTTTCTCAGCACTTCCAATTAATACCTCAGACGGATGTAACACCTCTGGCTTTGCAAGCACAGTGCCGGTGTTTCTGCAGCCCTGCAGTCTGGCCGCCAGATGAGTAGCTTTGTAGGAAAATGTGTCAGTGGGCACCATTTCCAGCTAGATCCCCTTTTAAAGTCACTCCAAATGACGTGCTTTCTCACTGTGTGTGTGTGGGGGGGGGGGGGGTCCGTGGACTTCTCACGTTAATAAAGTACAGCGATCTCCTCAAGAGATGCCTGTAGGACTTGGGCTTCATCCTGCCCAGGAACCTCCAAGGACCTCCGCAGGTCAGGAATTAATACCTTACACCTGTTTGTGTGGAAGGCTATGTTTACCTCTTTCTTGCTACACTGCTCTTGGTGCATCTGTTACTTGTTCATTTTGCTTGTATTTCTCCATAACCACAGAGGTAGTTGCTCGGTTGTTTTTTTTCCAGTGGGATGCATTGATGATTGCCTCTCAGTCAATAAAACCCATGTACAAAGCTCCCACCTCTAAAGTAGGCAGTAGTAATAATAAGAAAATTGGAATGGAATGGAATGGAATGGGATATGGCGTAATATAATTAACTCCTGAGGGTGTGCCGGAGGCATCTGGTTGACCACTCCAAGAAGAGGGATGCTGGTCTCATTGCTGGACTCTTTGTCTCAGCCAGCAGGGGACTCCTTACATCCTTGTGTGTAATTCTATGCAGCTGCTTTTTTCTCTTAAAAGAGCTTCTCAGTATTGATGATGCACGTTCCGATGTGCCTCTGCCGCTCTCTCTTTCTAATAATTGTTGGGAGCATGGCTCCCTCTGTGGAAAATGTTCCTCACCATTTATTATTTAAAAGCCATCATTTCGCTTTTTCAGTAGTTTTAAAACGGCCGAAACACAAATAATATCTGGCTTCTCTGATCTTTGCCATGACTTAGGAAGCTTGGGGGAACGATGTAGCGCAGCAGCACAGGAGGACACGTCTGGAGGCTGCGGTTGCATGGCTCATTTTGTTGTCGGGACAAAATCAAAACAAAAAGCTTGTCGACGGGGGGAAAAATTGACTGCAACGTCCTTGGAAAGTCGCTTCATTTTTTTGGTCTGCTGAAGCTGATGAAATGAATGCTGTCACGGCTGGAGTGCAAAAACTTATTCTTCGCTCTTTTTTTGCCTTTGCTGTTCCAGTTCTGCCACTCTCAGTTGTCCCATCTCCCACTCTCTCTGTTGCCTGAAGGCCTGTCCCACAACTTTTGTCTCAGTCTCCTGCAACCTGGCATGTGGTGGTCTGCAGATGGCCATACAGCCTTGGAATTCTGGGAGTTCCTGGCTAACACACCTGGAAAGCAGAGCAGTGCAATGCCCCCCTCCCTTCATATTCCTTCTCAGAAGGCATCGGCTGTAACCTTTGGCATAACCCTTGTAATCAGACTGTAATCACTTATTTCTTAAACTGTAATCAAACCGTATTTCTTGTCACCGCTGTCAGCTGCATTCTTCCCTTCTGCTCTGTGGTTAGACTGCAAGGTGCTTGCTTGCTGGCTGGCTTAGTTATGTGAAAGTCCCCAGTAAACTAAAGTGTTCCGTAGGGGTGCTGTGTACGTAATTCTGCCGCTTCATGTTCCCTCTTCTTCATCCTCACAGCACAGCTGGTGGAATAGCCCTGCTGGCCCTCCCTTCTTCCTCTGTGGCTGCCTCTTCCATGGGTCACTGCTGGGGTCGGTCGAGCAAGGAGCTGTTGGTTGGAGTGTCAGACTAGGCCCAGGCAGCCCAGGTCCAAATCCTAGCTCAGTTGCAGCGTGCACTGGAGCCAACTGCTATCTCTTAGCCTGCTCTGCCTCACAGGAATGTTGGAATAAATGGGGAGAACAGGCCCCTTTTGGCGCGCTCAAAGAAAAAGCGAACAGCATTAAAAGAATAAATAAAAATAAATAAAGGGGATTGGCCTGATGGCATAGGTGCAGGCTGGCAGTCAGAGCTGGCATGCTCAGACCATACCAATGTGCCCTGAGACGGACTGACGCCTGCTGCCTGCATACGCCATTTTTCTTTCTTTTAAGTTAAGGGCTGTGGTGCCTCGGTTGGTGCTACAAGGAGGAGCTGTGGAAGGCTGCTCCTCCTCCATCTTCATTTTCTCAGAAGGTTGCTGGGTCTGGAAGGTCCACAGGCATTCTGGGAAAGTGAAGGTGGGGACGGCTCGTTCTGCTGTTTTGCTCAGCCCAGCTCCACGCCAGGCTGCGTGGCTGCTTTCTGTCCATGCCACCGGCCACCGCCAGAGTGGCTGCCACAGTCTTCCTGGCCCTGGGAGGATGGTGCTTGTGATGCGTGATACGGGCACTGGGGTGGTGGCGTGGCTGCTCCAGTGAGCACTTTGCTCCATTCCCCTCAGACCTGGCACCAATCCTGCACTGGTGCTAGCCCCTCACAGCTGCACACTGCAAAGTTGCACTGTCCACAGACAGAGCCGACTTTCCTTAGGCTCAGACCATGCAGAGGATTTATTTGGCTGAACCAAACGCAAGGCGATAGGCTTCTCCTTTTCCACCTAAACTGATGTATTTATTCAGTTCATGAGTCACCCTATGGCTGAAGCTCTCAAGGCAACATACATACATAATAAAAGCAGATAAAATAATAAAACATGCATTTTAAAAATCAAAAGCAACGGCAGTAATTTAAAAAGAGCAATAAATAGCAAAGCAGTAAAAATGGCATATTGTAAGTCATCCCGAGATGTTAGTGGTGGGCAGGGTAGAAAAGTTTTAAAGAAATAACACCATGGAAAAAGTTATTTTTTAAATGCAGATTAAATATAGCATGGAATAGTAATGTTGGAACCTCAGCACAGGACTCCATGTTAAACCATTCTTCTCAGATGGCTGTTCATTTGCATCTTGAATGCCTCTAGTGTGGGAAAGCCCATCACCTCCTTAGGTAATTGGTTCCGTTGTTGTGCTGCTCTAACAGGGAGGAAATTCTTGAAATTCTGCTAGAACCTGACTTCCTGTAACTTGAGCCCCTTATTCCATATCCCTGCACTGAGGGATGACTGAGAAGAGTTCCTGGCCTTCCTCTTCATGACAACCCTTCACCTACTTGAGAGTGTTATCATACCTTCCCTCCATCTTCTCTTCTTAAGGCTAATTATGCCTAGTTCTTTCAATCTGTCCTCATTATCATTAAAATTTAACACTCAGCAGTGATTTTTTTGATTGACTGTGAGAATAAGAAGTCATCAAACAAAGGAGACATCGGACAGAATTCTCTAGGTTGCCCAGTGGTGAAGGATGACATGATTGGGTGTCTGTAAATGGAGGGGCAAATTCATATCACTGCTTGGTATTGGGAGGGTGTGTCCTGAAAATGCACACAGCTTCCAGTGTTCCATTTAAAAATGGTTCTGTACTGGAGGAGGCCGACTATGCTGTCTTGTAAAGTGATGCCAACTGAGAAATGGAAGTGCTAGTTTTGTTTTAAAGCCCTTTGGTTAACGTTGTTTACCATTAAGTTTTTGTTTGAATGTTCCCAGTTTGGTTTATGAGTGTCATCTTAACACTCCTCAGCATCATCTGTTGGGCTTTGAGACAGAATGTTCCAGCAAAACATTAAGTTGTCATATTCTTTTAGGAGTAGACACTGTCTGTCTACTCCCCACATTTTGTTTTGGTGTTAGCCTGGTGATGTATTCTAAAGATAACAGAGTGCTTCTCCCTCTGCTAGCTTGCATCTGCTATCCTGGTACTGCCCGATGAATATAGTGGGCACTGCAAAATTGAGTAAGTGCCCTTCATATTCTGTCATCAACATACTGGATCACTAGTTAAAACAGCTGGTACTAGCAAAGCCCTTCCTCAAAACGCATTTTTTCAAAATGCTTTTCCCCTCCAATTTGCATTGCAAGAAAAATCAGGAAAGTAGAAGGCAGATTGAAGAGGAGAACACAGAGCCTTCCTTTCTCAGTGCAACTGGTAACGCACCTTCCCTTCCTTCCACAGAAATGCTGCAGCAGCTTCACCAGCAGCTGGTGGAATCGGAGCGCAAAACCATGACTTACCTCAAGCGGTTCAACAAAATCCAGGCAGACTACCACAACCTCATCGGAGTTGCTGCTGAGCTGGTGGACTCCCTGGAAGCCACTGTTAATGGCAAAATGGTACAGCAAAATGTGGGGTCATCCAGTTTTGGTGACTGGGATATTTACATGCTTGCTCATTTCTTGCATCATAGCCTGCGCATCTGCCTGTGAAAACGCCTGCCATAAGAAATGAGTCTGTGAGGTGCCGCTTGACTGAAAGTTTCAGATACTTCTCTGTAACAAAAATTACTTCTCTACTGTAGCTATAAATGCTTTGAGAATTGCAGCTGCTATATTTTGACACAAAAATGCAGTCATCTTTGTTTTTATTATTACAAGAAGCGTAAATGTTAGCACCAGTCAAATCCTTGAGAAAACATACACATAAGCCAACCCTGGTATTGTTCTTTAAGTGCAAAGTGTACATTGGATAGTATTGTTGTGTGCAAAAAGTGTAGTATTGTGTGCAGAATTGTGTGACAGCATTCTACAAGTACTTGAAAGGCAGTCACAAAGAGGAACTACAGGATCTGTTCTTGATCATCTCAGAGTGCAGGACACAGAATAACATGCTCAAGGAGCAGGATGTCAGGCTCCAGCTAGAAATCACAGACAAAATCCTGTTAGAGCAGAATGGCAATAGGGCCCGTGCCCTAGCGCAGTTGCGGGCTCTCCCACACTAAAGGCATTCAGATGCAGCTGGACAGCCATCTCAGAGGGATGGCTTGACTTAGAGTCCGGTTGCACCCCATGGCCCTTGGGTGCCTTCTAACTCTACGATTCTGTGATTCTGTGATACTTCAGTTGCAGAATAAATTCCTGCTCTGTCACCGGAATGGGCTTTCCCATCAGCGTTCCATGCTGTCCCAGTGTGTTTGGTGGGGAAGCACTTTCAGGGGAGGATGCATGAACCTTGCTCTCTGTGGCACTGCAAACTTTCCCCTGCAATTGTTCCCACCTTCCCAAGTTTCATGGCTGGAAGTGAGTTGGATCATGGAGTAACTTTCACAGAGACCTGACTGATGTTGGAGTGGTTAAGTGTCCTTCCACCCTGCTCCTGCCTTTTGTATTGATGAGGTATCTTGAAATACAGTGGTACTTTGGTTCACAAATGTAATCCATTCCATGACTCTGGTCGTAACCCAAATTGGTCGTGATCCAAGTCAAATTTCCCCATAAGGTTCAATGTAAATAAGGTCAATCCATTCTGTAACCATTTTTTAAATCACAAACATTTGAAACAAAAGTGACAAAGAGGAACAAAGTAACAGAGAACAACAAAGATCATGGCCATCTCCACCCCGCCCCAGCATGACCGCGATCGTGCCTGTCTTTCCTGTACGAGTGCAACTACGGCCATAGACAGGTGCAATTGCGGTCATGCTCAGACGGGGAAGACAGGCATGACTGCGGCCATCTCCCCCCCACCCCCCTGAGCATGACTGCGATCACGCTTGTGCAGGAGAGATGGACATGATCGCGATCATCACCCGATGCAGAGTTCGCAACCTGAGGCAGACTTTTCTTGAAATTTCTGTTCACGACCCGATTTGGTCATGAACTGAGGCGTTCACGAGCCAAGGTACCACTGTGCAGTTCTGGAATGTGCTCTGGCTGGGGTAATGCCAAGGTCCATCCTAAGGGCCAATCAGAATGGAGCAGTCGTATTTTCCTTTAAAGCAGATGGAGCAGGATTCCAAATCTGATGAGAGGAGTGGAGCTGGGGATGATGAGGTTACGCCTGTCTTGCATGTTTTATTCCCTATATGAATTGTCTCCAAAGATGATATTTTATGTTAAGTTACAAAGCTTAACTAGAGTTTTGCTAATAATCAGCCCCCAAGTGAAGACATGATGCCTCTAGAAATAGGCAAGCAGAAGTATGTTTGGTGGGCCTCGACACTTACAGCGTCTCATGTAACTGCACAGTGTTCCTGGTTACCCCTCTCTTTGTTGAACACTTTGTGCGTTTTCTACTTGTTGCCAGATGGTGGCACTGTTTAGCTGTGCATTGGTCTTCCTCTGAGTTCAAATGCACCTGGAAATTAAACATAAGCAAAACTGGGCTTTATAGAATGATAGAATTGTAATGCTGGAAAGGATCAGAAAGCAAAGTTCTAGCCTCCAGGGAAAGAAGTCTCACAGAGCAGCCTTCACAGGTGAAGTCACAGAATTGGGGTAGTGGACTGGCATTGACAGAGAACGCAAGCTCACAAAAATATACCCCGCCAAAGCTAATAGCTTGTGCAAGAGCATGTGAGGAGAGGAACCGCCTGCCCCCCCCCCCCAATCTAAATGTCTACAGTTACTAAGCCAATCCAAGCAGGGAGAATATTCCTTCCCGGCCCCAGATATGATCACTCGTTGAAAGACTGTAAAGTGAGATGCATCCATTCAGTTGAGTCCTCTAAATTTAAAAAACTGTTTTGGAATCCAGAACAACTGTGGATTAGATCTAGGTTAAATTAGTTGTGCTTATATCCGGTTGATTTCAGTGAGACAAATTAAGTCATGACTAGCTTATCCCATTTATTTCAATGGACCTTGGAACTAAACAGTCCGAATGACATCCCAGGGTTATTAAACTGTACAGTTAAACAGTATGTGGCCTTCTTTGAGGGGGCTTTTTCTATCCCACCCACATGTAAAAGCGGGTTCAATGCAGCTGAATGGAGCTGTGGCTAGACTGCATAATAGGCCTGTAGAATATCTTCTGACTCATGATAAAGAAGAAAGGCAGCTAGCCATTATGAAGTAGCCACAGAAAAGAGCTGTGAATTGAGCATTCCCAGCCTTGTTGCTTCTGGGGCCGCCGCCTCCACCTCCTCCTCCTCTTCTTTTTGCTCCTAGGCAGATTTTGATTCTGTTCTTTTTGGTACCTTTTGGGAACGTAATCTTTGGGCAAAGAGTTAAGAGGGAAAGTTCAAATTTCCACTGACTTGGTTTGTCTCTGTGTCATAGATCACCCCAGAAGATCTGCAAAATGTCTGTGTCCGTTTGTTTAGTAACCAGATGAGGCAGAGTGTGGCACATAGCATCGATTTCACAAGACCTGGAACTGTAAGTATAATTTTCTGGGCATATTTTAGTCTAAAAAGTAACACATTTACCTTGCGTCTGTAGAATGGTGTGCATAAGACAAACCTTACCGGCTATACCTCCCAGCAGTACGTACATCTGTAAGGGTAACACAATGTGCTAACAGCCTTGAACAAGGTCATTTTTGCGAGTTCTCATACACTGGAGTGGCAGCTTTATGGGCAAGATTGCATGGCGCATGCAATCAGTACTTCTGCATGCTTCCGCAGCAGCTGCTGTGAGATCATTTATTTATGTATTTATTTAAATAAGGTAGGGTGTTATTTCTCCTGATGTTGCAAGTATTTATTACGACTACCTGTTATGAGTTTATACAATCACAGAACTGTAGAAGTGGAAGGTGCCATTTCGGCCATTGAGTCCAGCCTCCTGTTCGGTGCTGAGGCATCCCTGACCGATGCTGTCCAGCCTTTGCCCTAATAACTCCCATGTCAGAGAGCCTCCCAGGGCAGCTGGTTTCATTGCCTGGACCGCTCTGACCACTAGAGACTTTTTCCTGATATTCCACTGGAATCTTCCTTCCTGCAATTCAGTCTGTTTGTATCATGTCCTACAGTCGTGGAAGACTGAGAACAGGTTGGTGCCCTCTTTTGTGTGACAGCCCCTTAGGAATTTGAAAACTGCTATCAGATCGTGACTCACTTGAACCAAGTCATCCAGTTCTAGGTTGGCTCTCTGGTGGAAACAGAGGCAAGGCTCTGTCTATATTTTACAGTGTTAGGCAATCATGGACACAGAATTCAGGGTTTTTTGGAATCTTAGTTTTCCTTATTCCACGAGAGGTCGTTGAGGCCCCATCAGTGCAGGTGTTCGAGGACAGGCTGGACGTGCACATGGTGGGCATGTTGTGAGCAGCAGAGCTGGGATGGGGCAGTTTAACCTCACTGGCCAAATCTCCAGATGGGCTTCCACGGGAGGTGGCTGAGGCCCCATCGGTGAGGGTGTTCGAGGACAGGCTGGACATGCCCATGGTGGGCATGTTGAGAGCGGAGCCGGCTGGTGCTGGAGGTCAGACTAGATGGCCCGGGAGACCCCTTCTGACTCACCCTGTTTCTATGTTTCTATATTATGTTTCTATGAATGGGCTTGCACAGGAGGTGGTTGAAGCCCCACCAGTGAGGGTGTTTGAGGACAGGCTGGACGTGCACATGGTGGGCATGTCGTGAGCAGAGCTGGCTGGAGCCGGGGGTCAGACTAGATGGCCCGGGAGGCCCCTCCTGACCCACTCTGTTTCTGTGTTTCTATATTTATAATGTATTGTTAGATGGAAAGATGCACTGGCACTTCCAGACTCCTCCTCGAAAGCAAAGCCTCCCGGAATCGCTGCCAGACTAGCAGTGTGCAATCAGATTCTGTCCTGCTTTGTTCAACGAGGCTTGTTTCTGAATAAATGCACTCAGGAGAGTAACTTCAGATATAATGCTCTGATTTGCCATGTGAACTTCGCTGGGTGCTTCTAACTGAATCAGTTGATCTCTGAGATTAGTGCCCCATCTGAAAAATCAGAACAAGCGTTCCTCACAGGGTTTGCGACGGGTGAATGAAGTTTAAGTGGTTTAAGGAGGGATGCAGTTATAGAAATGAACTCTCTGTTAAAGGCAATTCCCAACAGCCCTTTTCTATCTACTGTGTCCAAGAATGGGGCTGCGGAGCCCCTAGGATGGGCTCACTGAAGCGAGAGGCGGGGCTGTACAGATACGAGCAGGCCTGATCCTGGGATCAAAGGCTGAGGTTTTGCCCTGCACCCCCGTGATTTTCCCAGCTGTGCCCCTTCACTTTTCCCTGCTCTCACTTCTATGGGATAAAGTAGTGCACCCAGCATTGCGGGCAAGACAAAGTCTCCCCTGGCTGGGAGAGTGGGTGGGGCCATCTCTTCTTGGCAAGGATCCTAGAAGGTTCAGCATTCTAGCATTCCCCAACCAGTCCCTCTTTATTTTGTGAGTTGATAAGGAAACCAGACAATTAGGTTGCAACCAAGAACATCAATACATTAGATGCTCTGGGAAATGCCTGTGATTAAAATGAAGTTACTTCCTTGATGAGATTGATGGGGACCTGTCAGCTTAAAGGTGTGCCACTCATACGGTATTCTTTGTGTGATTCTTTTGTAACTGCACAGGCACTTGAAACTCAAGTTGCATTCATGTTTATGTTTGAGCTTAATATCTTGCCGAAAGGAACATGATGATTCTCGAGTTAATGTGTTTTCTGTGCATTTACAGGAAATGCTTTACAGTCCAATCGCATAGTAGTCATCCATTTGATAAAAAGTATTTTTAGAAAGCTCAAATACCTTGGCCACCTAATGACAGGGAAGGACTCATTGGGAAATACCATGATGCTGGGAATGATTGACGGCAAAAGGAGAAGGGGACAGTAGAGGTTGAGGTGGCTGGACGGGGTCACTGGGGCAGCAGACATGGGGTTTGGTGCGTTCCAGGGGGCAGTGGAGGGTTAGGGTTAGGGGCAGGAGAACCTGGCATGCTGTGGTCAGTAAGGTCACGAAGGGCTGGGCACAACTTTGTGACTGAACAACAACCACATTTTTAAAATAAAATTAACTGAGACTTTTTTTGTCTGTCAGCTGATGAATAATGTTGTTAATATGTAGGTTGACGTAGTCAAATGCTTTCAGTTTTTCCTGGATGACTCAATGTACATTTGGACTGGCTGCATTAACAGTAGACTGCCAGGTTGAGAAAGGGAGCATTATTAAACCAACTTACGTTAATGCAAGGGTACGCAGATTTCTAAGGTACCATTAGGCATTAGGTTAAGTTGCTAGCAGCATATGTTTCCGTCTCATTTACAGTGTTTAGGAAATAACGTAGTACTGCAGAATGTTGCAGCATGAGGTGCCTGAATGGACCATCCTACTTGAGGCTGCAGAGGGGAGGTGGAGTTTTCAACTAGCAGAGCAGGGAGTGGGCTGGGCTAGAAACCTTTTCCTTTGAAACTCCAAAATTTACAGGCAGACAATACATTTAGTGGGACTGTGGATTTTGAGGTTTCTCTTATAGACAAACTGTGCTTGCTTCACTTTCTGCCTGGCATGCTGGGGGCTATTTTATTTGCAGGAAGTTGCTATCCAAGAAAAAGATTCAAAACTGGTACCCCATATATGCAGTCAATGATGATGATGATGATTGCATTGCACTTATATCCTGTCTTTTTTTCACCTCAAGGAACCCAAGATGCCCTTATATAGCTTCATTTTATTGTTAGAAAAGCAAACCTGTGAGGGATGTTTGCCTGAGTCTGTGACTCACGCTAGGAGCTTCATGACTGAGTGGGGATTAGAACTCATAATCGGATATTCCATCTTAAGTTTCTATTGCTTATGTGTACACTCAGTTTAAAATTGAGAGAGAAGAAAGAAAGGAAAGAGAAAGGAGATTTGTGGGACAAATAGGAGAAATTCATGATGAGGGAGGGAAGTACAAGCCCCTTAAAGAGGTCAGCTACTTCCCAGATAGCGTCTTCAAAACCTTTTTCGGTGAACTTTATTACCATCACTGTCAGTAGTTTTGAAAGGCAGGATAGAAAGACAATAATAAATTACGAGAACTCTCCTTCTGGTAGTTCAGAGGTGAAAGAAAATGCTTTGACATCAGTTCCTGCAGAGAAGGCATGTGGGTCTGCCCTGGTTCTGCAAAAGCAGAGGAAGAACACAAACGTTGGTGCTTGAGGTTATTTTGTTTTTCTTCTTTCAAAGTACTGTTACGGTCCAGCTTCCCCAAACTGGTGCCCTTCAGGGGAGTTGGACTACCATAACCCTCAGCCTGCATATGTGGGGCGCACTACCTTGGGAAAGGCTGTTTTAATACCTCTCAGTACAAATGTGCACTTGAAAAGCTTGGTAAGATCTCAGGAGCTGGTCTGGTGTGCCCCATCAAGAGATGCAGAGTGCACCAGATTCTTCTCCTGGTTTTATTTTATTTTATTTTATTATTTATTTATTTATTGAAAAGATTTGTGCCACAGCACCTCTGGGCAGCTCCAATCAGAAGATAAAAAACCACAATATAAAACTAATAACAATTTAAAGTATAAAATACAGATAAAAATACAAAACAAATGTATAGTGGCATCAACTATTATTTTTTTTTTTAAAAATACTGTTTTGTTGTCTGCCAGCAGACCAAAATAGCAGCTAAATTTGTTTCAGAATTGTAGAACAGTGGGGTTGGGAGGGCCAGAAGGCTGTCGGGTCCACGTTAAACCATCCCTCTCAGATGGCTGTTCAGCTGCATCACGAATGTCTGTAGTGTGGGAGAGCCCACCCCCTCCCTAGGGCATGGGGTCCCATTGTTGCACTGCTGTAACTGTCAGGAGGGTCTTCCTGATGTTCAGCCAGAATCCAGCTTCTGGTAGCGGGATCCCATCGTGCCATGTCCTGCACCCTGGGATGAGTGAGAAGAGAGCCTGGCTTTCCTCTGAGTGACAGCCTTTCAGGAACCTCAGGAGTGCTCTTGGATCTCCCCCAGTCTTCTCTTCTTGAGGCTAAACTTGCCCAGCCCTTTCCATCTCTCCTCACAGGACTTTGTGTCCAGGCCCTGCATCCTCCTCCTCTGAACCTTTTCCAGCTTTCCTCAACTCTGATACCCAGAACTGGGCGCACTGCTTCCGATGAGGCCTAATCAGCGCTGAGTAACGGGGAGCTAGAACGTCGCATTATTTGGAAGCGATACTTTCTATTAATGCATCCCAAAACAGCATTCCCCCCTTTTGTAGCTACATCATATTGTTGACTCATCTTCAGCTTGTCACCTACAACATTTATTTCCAAGATCCTTCTCACATGTGTCATTGTTGAACCAAGTATCCCACATCTTGTAGCAATGCATTTTGGTTTCTTTTTCCTAAGTGCTGAACTTGGGTTTTGTCCCTATTGAATCTCATTCCGTTGTTTTCAATCCAGCGCTCCAGCATATCAAGATCACCTTGAATTTTGTTTCTGTCTTTCAGGGTATTAGGTATTCCACCCAGTTTTGTGCCGTCTGCAAATCTGCTAGGTACTCCTTGCACTCATCCAGATCATTAATGAAAATCTTGAAGAGCAGTGGGCCCAGGACTGAACCCTGCGGTACCCCACTCGTTACCTCTCCCCAGTTTGAGAAGGTCCAGTGGCACTGGTTTGAGTGCCAGTGACTGGCACTCTTGGAGTCTCACTGTAGCCAGGTGTGGATCCCCCTGAACCGTGTTCCATTTAACCCACTTTGAGCTGGTTTGCTAAGCAGGATATCACGGGGCACTTTGTCCAAAGCTTTGCTGGAGTCAAGACATATTATGTCCACAGCATTCCCACAGTCCATCAGGGAGGTTTCCCAATCAAAAAATGAGATCAGATTAGTCAGGCAAGATTTGTTCTTGAGGAATCCATATTGGCTTCCAGTAAGGCAGGACACGCTCCAACGGAGCAAAGCTCAGGGAGCCAAGGTTCCATTTGGATGCCAGGAAGCACTTCCTGACAGTCAGGACCCCGAGGGTGTGGAAAGGGCTTCCACGGGAGGTCGTTGAGGCCCCATCCATGAGGGTGTTCAAGGATAGGCTGGATGTGCACAGGGTGGGCATGTCGTGAGCGGAGCCGGCTGGCGCCGGGGGTCAGACTAGATGGCCCGGGAGCCCCCTTCTGACTTGCCATGTTTCTATGTAATCACTGTGTTACCTGGAAGGTGTTTGCAGATTGACTGCTTCAGAATTTTCCCAGAAGTAGGTGTCATGATGTGTGGTCTGTAGTTCTTCCTTTCCCTTCTTGAAGATAAGAACAGCATCAGCCCTTCTCAAGCCGTCTGGGAATTCCCCCATCCTTCTTGATTTCTCACCGATAATAGACAGTGGTTCTGAGATTTCCTCTGCCAGTTCCTTTATTATTGTACAATGCAGTTCACTGGGGCCTTGATATCTGAACTCATTTGTTGTATTGTATCGGTGCAGGCCTATGCAAAAACCTGGGAAGGCTCACACAAGATTTTCAGTGGCAAGGGTCTCCTTCCCAAGTGATTGGAACCCAGTCTGTCCTTAGGACAGCTGGTGTATAAGAGGGAAAGCAGCAGTACTGCAAGAAAAAATGGTGCAAAAATAACAGAATTTTATGTTCCGCTTGCATAATCTATCCTTGTTTTTGAATTCACTGTTCTTTGCTGAAGAATTTGGATCGTCTTGGGCAAAATTTTAATATTTACGTTACCACCAGTCACACACTGGCGCAGAAGCTGCCGCTGGCACAGAATGTGGCAGCTAGACTGATACTGGGACCTCTACGTCCAAACAGAATAAGGCCGGTTCTGGCCCACTTGCATCGGCTGTCTTAATGCTTCTGGGCCCAATTCAAGCTGCTGGCTTTAACCAAGAAAGCATCACATGACTCAGCGCCGTAATACTTGTCTGAGCACCTCTCCTGACTGCGAACTCCTCAGTGGGGCCATTCAACCTCTGGGGTTTTCCTGCAAGGGCAAACTCCAGAGGAGGCTCCGAGGGGCCACGGGGGGAGGGCTTTCTCTGTGGTGGTCCCCCGTCTATGGAACAGGCTTCCCGCTGTAGTCCTACTGGTGCCAAACTTGGCATCTTCTTGCTGAAGCAATACTCAACAAGCCAGGGGTTGGGGGGAATTGCTCATCCCAAATGATTTTGTTTTCCTTTTACAGGTCAGTTCTACTGTATATTTTAGCTATTTAAAATGCATTTCAATAGTTTGTTTTTGTTTTAGTTTGTGAGATTGGTATGTTACTGCTTTGTTTTCATGCATCGTTATAAACTGTCCAGAGAGGTTCAGCTCTGTGGGGTGATACAGAAATGAAAAATGAAAGTGATAGTAATAATGCTCAAGAGTTAGGTATCAGATGGAAAAGGACTTGGGGACTTGCAAGCAGGAAGCTGACTCTGTGGAAAGACCCACCCTGAAGTGGCACCGTGATAAGCAGCTCAGCTTGAGGAGGATGGGCTGTGCCTCTTGATAGTGCTTTGGTATGACGCTCGAACTAGCTGAAGCGTACAAGGTCCTGTGTTAAGCAAAGCCAGCCTGGAACATTCTCTCGCTCTAAGCTGCAGGAGGATATTGTCTGTAGCCTGAGACAACGCTTGCTTGTGTGTAGTTTGCTTAATGAAGGTAATTGACTGAAAATCCACATAGAAGGAGAGCCAGAACAAGGCATTTAGGGTGGCTTTTCTGTGAAAAATAAGATGCTGTGCCAGAGCTGCTCCTGCTTCATACAGCATGTCAGCCGACTAAGAACTGGCCAACTGTGGTGGGTTGCTACGTTAAACGAACCATGTGAACTGATGAAGGAACTTCAGTTAGTGGGCAGTTTAAAGATACAGCTGGAAAATACCCAAAGCATCAGTGTTAACATCCTTATTCGCTGATTTCTGGAGGAGGTTGACGTTCCCCCTTAGTCCTTGTGACCTACTTTATGGTTGCTTTATCAAATTGCAGATATGAGTCACTGATCCGCTCTTTTGAGGTCACTCCTTGTGAGTTGGGGTGGACACTGATCCCAGGAAGACCCATTGCCTGGCCTGGCTGAGATGGGAACCAAGGCTGGCTGTCAGTGGGGAGGGCATGTGTCTAGTCACTGATCCCCAGAAGCCACTTATGACCACGTGTTATTAGTCCCTTATTAGTAGAAATGGCCAGTCCATTTCAGAGGCCTGCAGAGTGACTCTTGCAGCCATTCCCAATCTGGTACCCTCCCGATGTGCTGGACTGCGGTTCCCATTGTAATCTTCCTTCCATAGTGTTTTCCTTGTAAGTGGCACAGCTACCCCTGACCTAAGACCAACTTTCCCCAGCTGGATGCCATCCAGAAGTCACTTCTAGTCAAGAATGAGCATGAGTCATAATAGGACTGCCCTCTCCCTCCCCCTGCTCATTTCACTTTGACAGCTGAATCTGCTTGAAGGCACAATCCTATCTGCATGTCAGATAGTGAAAATCCCCAAACTCCCAACATTCCCCATATTGGCTAGGGAATGACGGGAATTGTAGGACTTCTTCTTTGTCTGTACATGCATACAACTATGCGCTGCGTCACCTGTTTGTCATCAGTCTTCTGCAAAACATTCCCTTTTCCTGCCCTTTCCTGCTATTTTGTAGAGCCAATCAGAAATAATGATGAAGTGAGAATAGGTATCCAGGGCATAAAGCAAAGATGCACCTTTCTTTCTGAAATTGCTCTCTCTCACTCCTTAAACAGATTTTAACTAAACTGCTGAGTGTCTCTATGTGATTTCTCTTAACTCTTGTTTTCTTCATCTCTTTTATTTTAATGTGTGCCCTGTTTACCTCTAAAGGGATATTGCTGTATGAGCCCGTGTGAGGATGAATATGTAAGTTCCTGCATCTCTTCTTTTGTCCCTTTTTCACATTGCCTCATGCATCCTTTTACCACCTCTCCACCTGCTCCTTAGCAGTTGTACTTGCTCTGCTTGCTGTGCATCCAGAACACCTCTATATGGCAGAACGTACGCAAGGTTGGAATGCTTGCATGAGAAGGCGCCATGTAATTGCCCGTCCGATTAGCTTTGTGTAGTATCTGGGGCTGTCATCCGGTTAAAAAGCTCTTGTTCATTGATTGTATGAGTTTAGTGAATGTGTCAGTTAATTAATAAAATCTGATGAATACACAAAGGAGTAACTTTGGAAGCTTGTGGGGGGAGCAGCGCATTGTTTTTATATAGTTAAGCATGCCTGTGTTGAAGTGGATGCCACCTTAAAAGTGGTGTTTCCTCATGTGTTGAGGGAGAGCAGGGAGAAAATGCCTCTTCAAATACATCACCTATAGTTTTCTAAGCTTTTGATTTACAACAAATGTGTGTTTTTCATTATAATTTGCCAGATTAAGAGAGGTGATTGAAATGCCTAAAAGCTGAACTTCTAGTGGCACTTCCAAATAATGGCCAGGTTAATCATGATCCCCATTCCTGCTGTGGCACTCTCTCCCCTTCTACCTCTACTCATAAGCTTTGAGGCAGGGCCTGTCTTTAATTATTAAGCAGAATTTGTTTTGAAGGTGAATTAGAAATGTTTTTGTCATTAAAATAATGCTTATCAGTCCAGGAGTCTTCGTCATACGAGTCCAGCATGGCCTGTACACGATGAATAAAGGTACAGATTTGAAAAATACAGATGGTTTTAAAATGCATCTTCAACAGCAGCCATTGTCGAAGGCTCAGCCGGCCTCTTCTGCAGCCCAGATGGCCATTTGCATTCAAGCATCATCGCCAAGAGATCTTCCGGATCATTCCAGATTGCCCACAGCCAGTGCATTCTTTGTAGGAAGAGGATATTGGCTGCTAAGCTGAAGATGTAACTAGAGCCTGGGAACAGAAAGCCCCCCCCCTTCCAGAAAGAGTCACCATCCTGTTTAGAACCATTCATGCTCCTCCCATAAAGTGTCGCGAGGGCTGTTCCCAAGAAGACTGGCTCATGTATTGCTCTCACAAGCTTTTCTTGATAGCCCAGGCCATGGGGATCTTGTGGAAGTGTGGAAATCACAGAGTGAGGTGCTGAGTGCACAATTCAGTTTCTTGAGGACTTCCAGCTGCATTTTTTCAAAGCAATCAAGGGGAGAATGCCCTTGTGTGGAAATACATCCTCCTGAGGCTCATTGTGGTTATGTGCCATCCAGTTCTGTCTGACCTTTGAGGGCCCCATGAATGAATGTCCCCCCAGATCTCCTGTTCTTGACAACCCTGCTCAGCTCTGGTAAACTCAAGGCTGTGGCTTCTTTTATAGAGTCCATCTTTCTCATATTTGGCCTTCCTCTTCTTCTGCCTTTAACCTTCCCTAGCATGATCGTCTTTTCCAGTTAGTTTGGTCTTCTCATGATGCGCCCAGAGAACGGCAGCTTCGTTTTCGCTGTTTGTGCTTCCAGGTCTCATCTCTCTCTCCCCACCCTGCCAGACTTGCCTAGTGCCAGGTGCATGGGCATGATCTCTGATGGGAGGCCTGTGCATGCCTTCCATACGTGCGTCAAGGAGCACAGGAAGAATGCACTGGGGTTTCTTATCCCAGGGCAGGCCCCTAGGTTTCCTGCCACTTCTTACTTGGCCCTTTTAACTAGAGGTGGAACTGGGGCGTTCTTCACGCAAGCATGCACTCCTTGGAGGCCCAGTATGAGGCCAGATCCCAGGATTTGTTTGCTTCTCCTCATCTAATTGTGGGGCTTAGAGAGCCATGTAGACAGAGATACTGGCATGCTTTAGGGAGCCTCAGGGTTTGCAGAAGTGCGGATAATAATTAGGGAAAAAACCTCAGAGCAATATCCTCGCCCACCCTGATCAGTGGGGTTCAGCAACTGTGGGGCAGATTACCCTGGAAGAGGACATGGCTCGTTGGCTGGAGCCTTGAAGACAAACACGCTTTATTTCAAAATTTTACTGATGACCTCACTTACCGTATCTGGCCATCCCTACTTGGAATGGTTCTCTTCAGCATCCACCTGCCACCACAGCAGGTGCTTCCTCTTTCACCCCATGTCTCTGTTGCAAGCTTTTAAAGTTCCTGAACACTAGTCATTGTTTGCTTGTTGTTAGAAACATAGAAACAGAGTGAGTCAGAAGGGGTCTGCTGGGCCATCTAGTCTGACCCCTGGCTCCAGCCGGCTACGCTCACAACATGCCCACCATGTGCATGTTTAGCCTATCCTTGAACACCCTCATTGATGTGGCCTCGACCACTTCCGTGGAAGCCCATTCCACACCCTCGGGGTCCTAACAGGAAGTGCTTCCTGGCATCCATATTGAAGCTTGGTTCCCTGAGCTTTGCTCTGTTGGAGTGTGTCCTGCCTTCCTCTGCAGGGGAGAACAGGTCTCTACCCACCTCCGTGTGATATCCCCTCAGATACTTGTATGTCACCAACAGATCCCCTCTGAGTCTCCTCTTCTCCAGGCTGAAGAGACCCCGTTCCCTCAGTCTCACCTCATGCGGCTTCCCCTGCAAACTGGCCACCAACCTTGTGGCCCTATGCTGCACTGACTGTAACCTGGCTATATCCTTCCTGTAATGAGGGGCCCAAAACTGAGCACAATACTCCAGTTGCGGGTGCACCAGAGTTGTATAGAGTGGCAGTAACACCTCTCTCGATCTAGAAGCCACACTTCTGGCTCTGCACCCAAGGGTGGCGTTCGCCCTCTTGGCCACTGCATCACACGGCTGACTCACGTTCAGCCTGCAGTCAACCAGCACCCCAAGGTCCCTTTCACAAGTGCTGCTCTCCAGCCACTTGTCACCTAACCTGTACTTATGACACCCATTCCTATGCCCCAAGTGCAAGACCTTGCACTGATCCACATTGAATGCCATCCTGTTGTCTCCTGCCCACTTCCATAGTCTGTCCAGATCCTTTTGGATCTGGAGTACCTGCTCCTCAGTTGTGGCCACTGCTCCAGTTTTAGTGTCGTCTGCAAATTGGATCAGCAGACTGTTCACCCCTTCTTCCATGTCGTTAATGAAAAGATTAAACAGGATCGGCCCCAGGACAGAGCCCTGGGGGACCCCGCTTGTCACTGGCCGCCGTCCCGATGATTCCCCACTAATGGTTACCCTCTGCTTTCAGTCAGTCAACCATGCCCTAATCCACTGGACAGTGCTTTGGTGTATCCCAAAACTCCTCAATTTCTCCACCAGGATATCATGGGGCACTTTGTCAAAGGCCTTGCTGAAACCCAGGTAAACCACATCCACCACATCCCCTCCATCTAGCCATCTCGAAACCTTGCCATAGAATTCCACAAGGTTTGTCTGGCAGGACCTGTTTTTGCGGAAGCCGTGCTGTGTGGCTGCCAGCCTCCCTTCCCTATCTAGCATCACTATATCCCTCACTGTTACGAGCCTTTCCATTGTTTTTCCTACAATGGATATAAGGCTAACTGGTCTATAATTCCCCTTCTACTACCCTTTTTGAAAATTGGGGCCACTGATGCCACCCTTCAGTCCTCTGGAACTTTTATTTATTTATTTCAATTTATATCCTGCCTTTTTCCTACAAAGGGCTCAAGGCAGTTTACATCATTCTCCTCCTCCATCTTATCCCCACAAAACAACCCTGTGAGGTAGGTTGGGCTGAGAGTCTGTGACTGGCCCAAGGTCACCCAGTTGGTTCCATGGCTGAGTGGGGACTAGAACCCAGATCGCCTGAGTCCCAGTCCCATGCCCTTAACCACCACCCTGGCTCTTCACCCGTTCTCCACGAGGCCTCAAAAATGGAGGCCAGTGGGCGTGAGAGAACCCCTGCCAACTCCCTAAGTACTCTCTGGTGTAACCCATCAGGGCCTGGTGCCTTTGTAATGTCCAATGCCCTGAGGAGCCCCTCGACTTCTAGGGGGAGGTGACTCTAATCTGTGCCCCTAAGTCCCTGGCCTCATCTAATCTCCTATGCGGATCTACCCCATCCTGCTTTGGGGAGAACACAGAGGCAAAATAGTCATTTAGCATCTGTGCCTGTTCCCTCATATCAGTCACTGGATCTCCTTCCTCCTTATTTAGTGGTCCCACCACTTGTCTCCCCTTCCTCTTCCTATTTCCATGCTGAAAGAAGCCCTTTTTGTTGCTCTTGATATTCTTGGCAAGTCTCAGCTCATAATCAGCCTTAGCCTTGCGAAGAATCCTTCTGCAACGGGTCTCCTCCTCCCGGTATACCCTTTTGTCTGTTTGCCCCAGTACCCATTTCCTACGGAGGTTCCTCTTTCGTCTAATCCCTCTAACCACCTCCCTTCGCATCCATGGCGGTGCTCTCCTCCGCCTCCCCACCTTACCAACTAGAGGTATCGTCAAGGCTTGCGCCTCCAAAACCTCCCTTTTGAGTGCCGTCCACCCCTCCTCAACTTGCTTACCTTCCAGTAACCTGTCCCAGGAGACTTTCCCCAGTCTGGCCTTCAGTTGGCCAAAGCTGGCCCTCTTGAAGTCCCAGCTTCTAGTGCTCGACCTGCTGCATGTCCCCAGTCCCCTGATCTCAAAGCAAAGGATGGAGTGATCACTCGCATCCAGAGCTCCCCTAATCTGTACTTCATCTATCAGCTCCTCCCTACTGGTCAAGACTAAGTCAAGGATGCCCCCCCCCCCCGGTCGCCTCTGGGACCCTCTGTGGCATGATTTTATTGTAATACTTAGATGACTTTTGATGATTGGTCAGGAAAGGGTGGGGTCCAGCAGCAATGTGGCAATGAAACGATTGTCACCCTTAATCAACAGTATCCAGGAAAATGAATGCAAATGAGTGCTGGGGAAATAGATTTAAGTAGAACATAATACGTCTGGAGGCCATTCCTAGTGTGAAAGGCAAACCGTATACTGAAGGAGAACCGCTTAGTTTTAAGGCTGTGAGGCTTTTAATTGGCTATTATGTATCATCACTCATTGATTTAAGCATAATATGAAATGATGTCCTATACAGGTACACACTTACCCGTTTGTGAGAGAGATGCTCCTTGTGTTACATAGGATAGCTTTGCGAAACCCCAAGTGTTCTGATGGTATGTTGAATGGTGTAATACAATCTTCCCTTTGACATTCCACGCCCTTTGTCTTCTAAAGCTTCCCAGCTCCAGCACTGAACAATAAGTGCTGATTATAGAGCCTGCCATAAAAGAACCGCGTTAGGAGAGAAGACCAATCTTTTAAGGCATGAGTGGGTCAGAAAGGATTTTGCAAAGTGATAAGTCATAATCACAACAAAAAGATGATGACGAATATTCTGGGAATCAATGGCACCTATTGTCATCATTGAAATGGGTAACAGAGAAATCTTCACAGGATGATTGTTCTTTTTGGGCCCACCTAACAAGTAATTTAAGCAAAACCTTGTGATTGAAACTGAGAAATAGTATTAAAACTTTCTGGATATCACTGCATTTGTGCCCTAATTCAGAGGGGGGCGGGGGGGGGGCTTATTTCCGCCATGAACCATTTTCCCTTGGAGGTACGTGTTTGGGGGGCTCCATGGGATGATCTTTGCCTTCTTTATAGGAATGTTAAGGTTTTTAAAGTGGATAGAGAGGGGCAGTTGAAAGTGACATTATCTTCTTTTGTCTCTTACATACATCGAGCTACTCTGCTGCCTGCCTGCCTCTCTTTCTTGCATGCATGGAGAGAAAAGCAAAAAAGTAAACTTGAGTACTAATTATTAAATAGTAGTTCCTAAAAAAATACCTCTTAGGGATGTGAAAAACTGGAGAAAAAAAAAACAGGAAAAAATATGGAAAACCTAGTCCCCCCCCCAAGTACCAACAATTGTTCTTTTCTGAAAAATTGGACAAATTTATTGTGATATACTCTCCTTTAGAATACTTAATAAAATGTTTTAATTTTACTGAGCCTTTATTCCCTGTTTTCTAAATCTATGCAGTAAAAGAACTTTTATACAAAGGCAAGCGATGTAACATTTCTGGAAAGAATGAAGTCATGGGAGAAAGCATTTTTTAAATCCTCTAAGATTTTCAGCATAGTTATTTCTTCTATTCCTTATTAAAAATTATTAATCTAATCTATCACTGAAAGATATTTAGGGATCTCTAACTCATGTTTAGCTTCCCAACATGTAAGTAAAAGGTGCAATATTAACACTTGGGGTTTTGATCTGTACAGTCCTGCATTTCTGGGCTTGTTCTGGTTAAATGCTGTAGCAGTCAATTAGTATAATTCTCTAAATTAGAAATTTCCCAGTCTTCCTTCAGTTCTTCTCATTTCTTTCAGTTTTTAGGGTGATTCAGATGCTTTATTAGCTATTTGCTGAAGTTCCCTCTGCTCAGAGATAAAATAAAAACCTAAAATATATTAAAACATTGCCATTTTGCTCATAAAATGGTAATTTGGTATAATGCATTTAAAATTATAGCTTATTCAGGCAGTAGTTACAAATGTACTGAGTTAACTTTTCAAAGTTTTTGATTTTAATGAAACTTTATGAGCAAACTAAGCTATGCATAGCAACATTTATGTTCCTAAAGCAACTTTTCCCAACTTGGGACCTTCCAGTTGTTTAGGCCTACAACTTCAGCTTTTGGGCAGTGTACAAATGAGGAGATGAGGATAATCATGATGGTGCCCAACGAGCATTCCTGACTTTCGCCCATGCTGCCTGGGCCTCATGGGCACTGCAGTCCAAAATACCTGGTGAGCACCAGGTTGGAAAGGGCTGTCCTAAAGCCATGGGCAATTTTAGATTTGCAAAGATTAGTAAAGATGTAAAAATAAATATTGCATATTGGTTTATCTTTCAAGACTTTTGAGTTTTTCCTTGAAAGAAAACTGGGCTTTTCCAGTGACTTCAGTATTTCCAGACAGTTTACATCTCTCGGTCGGTCGGTCGGTCGGTCTGTCTCTCATCCCTGTGGTTCAATTTACAAAGCAAGAATGTATACCTCAGCATCTCTTAATGAAAAGCATAACTGATTTGTATTAAGTAATCCTGAGTACACAGCTCTTGCTCAGAAGCACAAGGAGGCGCCTTGTAGGATCAGATCGGCCTGAGCAAGGCAGCATTTTTTGCATGAATACCTGTAAAAACAATAGATGATGGTCCTCCAGAAATTGGCTGGTTAACTGCCACGTCCTCAGGTAAATCTGTGCTCTTTATTTCACTGCTTGTTTTTAGTATCTTCAGCTGGTTTGCACAGTGCTGCAACCCAGGTGGACTCACACGCATGGCTGATCACCAGTGGTGTGTTGTCATGTTGCGTGAATACGGATTCTGCAGGTGTCTTCTCATGTCCTCTGAACTCAGCAGGTTGACTTCTTCGTGAGTTGTCAGGAACAGCTGCAGAGCTGTCTAGGAAGGAACCTGCTGCCACTTCTCACTGTCTTGTTAGTACTATTGTCATCCTCCTTCATTTCTTCCCAAAGCCCTCCACCATATGATCCTAAAAAACAAGGAATGAAGATCACTGGAGTGTCCTAACTGCTTTCTCAGTCTTTCTTTCTTTTTAAAAATTTCTTTTCCATTCAGTGCAGGTGTGCTTGCTGGATGTCTGCTGCTAGGAAATTGAAAGAAATTTCCCATCGATTTCATTGCTTTGGCTTGTAATTTGCACAATTTTGCCTTCATTTTACTGCTACACCATGAGACTTGTGCACTTACCCCTTTTCATGATCTGCCGTGAGATTTGTGCAATTTCCCCCTTCCTGTCCTGCTCTGCCTTGAAATTTTGATAATGTTTCACCCCATTTTTCTGCTTTGCCATGAGATTTTGTATTTTTAGCAGCCCTTTCACCATTGTGTGTCCCATAAGTGTGTCTGACAGGTGCCAACAGAGGGAGGTAACGGGCAGGATGTGGGGAGGGGGCTGCCAATGTCTGGCAGCAAGAGGGAAGGCACTTCAGGGTGGGCGTTCTTACTTCATTATAATTTAGAGCAACCCGGCTGACACGGAGGACACAGGCACGGCCGACACGCTTGGCTGATAGCAGACAGACAAGCCCTACCCTCTTTTGCGGGTGTGCAATTCCATGTGGGGTGGGGGCGGGGGTCTTGCAAATGTTCCCGGTGCTCCTAAGGGCCCAGAAAATTTCTCCTTGCTTACAGTCTGATGCATCAGGGCACCTGGAAGATGTAGCCAACTGGGTGGGAAAGCTGAGTGCAGAAACCAGCCCTGGCCAGCTTCAGAGCAACTGATCATCTATGGGGTTAGTGCGTGAGCAAGCAACAGGTGGTGGCTTATTCGCAAGTTGCCTTACCATGATGCACTAGCCCTTCCCCTTCTGCATTCTTAAACGTTGTTGCATTTTTGTGTCACATTCTTGGTAAATACCCCATAAGCCTCCTTAGGAGAACCCTGATTGCTAAACTAAAAGACCCCATAAGCCGTGGTTAGTTTTGCCTTTACATTTTGCACATTTTCTCTCTTTAAACTACAGGCCTCGACGATGTTAAGAGCATCGCTAGCCCCTGTGTAAGTATTTGTCTTTTAAATGTTGGTTATTTCTTTGTCACCTTGTAAGAAATAGTGGTGTGTGTTAAAGAGATGAAAGTCAACGGATATGGCAGCATTCTTGGAGGTGTGTGCACCCAGGTTAAGTGCTGTAAACAGAGGCTGGGTTTGCCAGTAAGAGCAAGCGACAGTGGACACCATGCAGGCGTGGCTTGTCATTACATCCGAGCCCAGCGTCCACGGTGAAGTGCCGTCCATTCAGTTTCCATGGAGCCACACAGAGAGGGGAGGGGTTGTGTGGGTGGGTGTGCTTGCACAGGGGCACCAAGTATGGCAGCACAGAGGAGTGCTCCTGCAGTGCTGCTCTGGAGCAGCAGTGCTACTCGAGCGGGTAAGGAGCTGCTTGACAGAAGGGCCGGACAGGCAGGCAGGCGGCTGGGCCATGTCCAGGGGAGTGTGCAGGCCCATGAGGGAGGTCCCTCGAGGGTTGCCATTTGGAGGGAAGATAGGCAGGCATGGAAGCCAGTCCAGGGCGTATTCAGGTTGCAGCTGGGCAGCCATCTAAGAGGGGCGGTTCAGCTTGGAGCCCTGTGCTGAGCAGGGAGTTGGACCCCCAGCGGCTTTTGTAGCCCCTTCCAACTCTAGCATGCAATGATTCTGTGATTTATGAGGAAGGTCGTAGCTCTCCTTTTGGGAGCAGATTGAGCAAAAGTGGGAGTTGAGCACTTCTGCCCTTCTTTGTCTTCTGTTGTCATTTTGCCGTCCACACTGAGTAGCTGGACCCCCGTTGCTTTCCTTTGTCTTTTACTTTCGTCATACCTGAAGAAGACTCTGTTGTTGCTTTTAGCATCCCTTGCTAGCCTCAATTCATTCCTAGCTTTAGCTTTCCTGACACCATCCCTGCAGTTCCGTGCTACCTGCCTGAATTCTTCCTTTGTAAGGTGGGATCCAGCCAAAGCTTTTGTCTAGCAATAGAATTTCCCAAAAGGAGTTTTGCGCAGGAGCCTGATGTGTGAGTTGCACAGATAACCACTCAAGGAACTCCCCTCCAGGCTAGCAGCCTGGCTGTTTCTGACAAGGGTTTTCCATCTCCCTGAGAGTGAGACTCTCTCTGTGATCTTGTAAAAACAGTTCTCACTTGGCTGGGTTCAAATGTGTTTGCCAAATTTTTCACAAGTGCTCCTTTTTCATTTGTTGTTCAGGAAGATTCAGGAAGTGCCGCTCTTGCCATCATTGGATTATGAGAAGCTAAAGAAAGATCTTCTTGATGGGAGTGACCGCCTGAAAGCCTTCTTACTGCAGGCATTGCGCTGGGTGGGTGACCTGGAGAGCAGTCAGAATGGACTTTAGATGAGTGTGCTGTCAGAAAGCTGGCAACATCACCCCGTGCTAAACAAAGGATGGAACGAAATGTTAAGTTGTCGAGATGAATTCCGCTCTCCTGCTGGTTTGGTCTGTTCCGAGCTCTTTTTGCATTCTCTGCACTGCACCGCCTCATTATTTTTGGCTTGGTGGGTTGCACCGTAAGATCCCACTGACAGGTGGCTTTGAACTTGAAAAGGAGGAATTTGAATTTCATGCAGCAGAGAACTGCTGGAGAACTTGAAAAGCCATCCCGGTTAGTGGCGCGCTTTGTTGACCGAGCGCTATGGAAATTGTATTTGAGCAGCAGAGATGGGCGAGTGCTACTTCCCAGAACGTCTGTCTGTCCTCAGCCTGTGTTTCAGTCAGACGGGATGAAACAGAGAAACCAGGTCAGTGGGTGGCCCGGGGAGCAAAGTGAGCCCCCTCATAAAATGTTCCTCGGGTTCTGAGAGGGACCACAGTGCTGATGTCTGAGCCCAGAAATAAGCCCAGTGCCAGTTTCTCTTGAAATGCAGAAGTCACAGAGCTTTGGTTGCAGACTCATAGAACCATCTTGGACAAGTTGCTAGTCCTTAAGTCCTTTCTGATATTTAAGTACTACCACACAGGATGGTTACTTGGTAGAGAGAGAGATGAAAGAGTTTCTTCTTACACAGACATTCTTTCTGTATCTGTATAATATTTTTAATTATTAGTAATTCATAGGTACCTACTCTTCTTCTTTTGTAGCGCTTAACAACATCCCATCCGGGTGAGCAGAGGGATACGGTTTTGCAGGCGTACATCAACAACGACCTCTTGGATTGCTACAGCAGCGCCCAGGTTAGCAGTGGTACAATCAGGGTCGGCCTGCGCAGCTTGAGGCTGGCATCTTGCTTCTCGTGTGAAGAGAGCAGTGCTAGCTGGGTGAAGAGCCCTTCGCCCCAGGGACCCTGCAGAGGCAGATTCCAGGCTAAACAAGTGACCGTGAAGCTTGCAACCCCCACCCGCACGTGGGCATGTCTCCCTATCCACATTCTGTGCAGCTGGGGGGAGCTGAGCTGGTTACCTGGCCCTAGAATCTCTGTTGGGCTGCAGGCCAGGCCCAAGGCCTCTGCTCGTGAACGGAGGCGCAGCAAGCCCTGGGCACGTGCCCTTGTGCAGCTTGGTGTGGTTTTGGGTGCTCTGTCTTCAAGGCAAAAAACAGCACAGAGAGCAAGCGTGAGGGAGGGGACCATGGGGGGGGGGCGCTCTGCTTCATGCCATCACAGATCCGACTGCTGAAGAAGGCCCAGGCATTCTGCTCCGATGGCTGTATCCCTGCGGTGCCCTGGGACATCTCCCCATTCTCCACCTTCCCACTGGGAGGCATCCAGACGTGCTTTTTGTTCAGCTTTGGGTTTCGCGGGTTGCCTTGCAGTATTTCCATAGCAGCTGGGCTTTTGTTTTCTGTCTCTTTCAGAGGAGCGTGCTGATGCTGATACAGTCGAAGAGTGAGGTTGTTCGTCAGTATACGGCCAGGCTCGTCAATGCGTTTGCCTCGCTGGCTGAAGGTGAGAGGGACCGAAGGGGGAGCTGCCGTTTTGCACGATGGGACCATTTGTGTGCCACCGTCACTGGGGCTGCAGCCAGGTGCTGGCTTTTCAGTGCTGGTTGGCTTGTGTCACTATAGTTAGGGTTATTAATTATCTGTATCACCCATAGCCAAAGCTGTCTGGGCAGTTTACAACAATGTAACAACAACAGTGAAATACAGTAGAGAAAAACATTAAGAATTTAAAATAATTATTAAAAAATTAAAAGACAATAAAAAGTCAATTAAAAAAGACCTAGCCATTAGTAAAAGACAGACACTTGGCTATGTATCAAGCCCCAGAATGCCCGGGAATGTCTTTAAAGGCCTCTACAAAGAGGACTGTCTGTTTGGTGCCAGGTGGGCTGCAGCAAGGAGGTTGTTCCAATGATGGGGGCACCTCTAGAAGGGCCCTCCTGGCACCCTGAGGAAGTCCCCAGAGGCAGAGCGTAGTGTCTGGATAGATTGGAGTTGGGAGGGGTGCTCCAACAGGTGTTGTGGTCCAAGCCATGTGGTCCCAAGCCTACCTGGCACTCTGAATCTTGAGGGGGAGTAGTAGAAACTGCTTCTGAAGAAAAATTGTCCACTGTTCTGAGAGCTGTTGCTAATCAAACAGTTTAAAAAATTCTCAAAGAGTGGATGGCCCAGACTGCTCTCTCCAGACTCCTCCTCCTCCTTGTTTGTCCCAGGTCGACTGTACCTCTCTCAGAATCCCCGGTTGCTTCGCATGCTGGAAGAAAGGTTGAAGGCCGAAGACAAATACTCCCTTACTCGAGAGAACGTCATGGGGGCTTTGCAGAAACTCAGCCTCAGGTGATGATAGCAGCGGGGCCTTGCTGACAGCAGGAAAGGAAATGCGGGCTTGTTGGGTCATGTTCAGAGAGGAAAGGAGAGCGCTTGATTTTCAGGCTGCTGTCATCAAAACCCTCCCGAGCTGGTGACAGGAACCTCACTTCGAGCTGGAGGGACGGGAGAGAAGAGCTCAGCAGGAGCTTGGCTAGCTAAACGGATCCCCCTCCCTCCGCCCGCATTCTGTCCAGCCATTATCTGTAGACACTCATCTGTATCCCATCTTCTGCTTAAGAAGCATCTTCAGCTGATTGGTTTCTGTTCTCTTTAAAGACAACAAATCCAGAGCAATGAGGTGCTGCAAACTTGTGTGCAGAGTGATTTCAGCTATGGGGCAGTACAGAAATAAAGTTCTTCTTCATCACCACCACCATCATCATCATCTCTCTCCAGGACAGGAAGGGATTGGGTTTGCTGTCTTTTCCACAAACATGATGAGTCTGCCTTTGGACTTGGAAGATCAGTGGGAGCCTGCGGGGGCCTTTGGTTCAGAGGCAGCCCTCCCGCAAGGCAAGGTGAAGCAGCCTCTGCTGCCACCATTTGCATTTAAGAACAGCCCAGGTAAAGCTGAGCTTTGGAGGGGAAAGTCCTCTGGCAATCGCTTTCCCATTTCCCTCGTTGAAATGGGAACGGAAGTCCGCAGGAGCACGCATGAGGGAGTGGCTTGTGCCCCATGGAACCAGCATATATGGTGGCTGCCCCGAGGCCTTGCACCCCAGACACTGCAAGGGAGTCATGCAGACCCCACAGCCCGAGCTTCCAAGTTCCCACTCACACCAGAAAGGGGCATTTTCATGAAGTCGATGTAGGGTTCGCCTTTTAAGATTCCTTGGCACAGCATTCCAATGAGAGGAAGGGAGTTCAAATGTTTTGGGTCTGCGTTTGGATTTCTCTTCACCTTTCTTTCTGGAATCTTACTTCCTTTTTGAACCATGGCAAAGAAGTCTGCTCGTTTGCCTAGGGAGGTGGTGGGCTGTCCCACACTGGAGGCGTCCAGGAGGCAGCTGGGCTGCCCTCTGAGAGGGGTGGTTTGACCTGGAGCCCTGCCCTGAGCTGGGGCTTGGACCCGATGGCTTTCTTGGCCCCTTCCAGTTCTACTATTCTGTGATTCTTTGATTCTGTGCCTGGTAAGGTAATGGTTTTCCAGGACTGTTTTTTCCATAATAGAACATATCACAAGGAAATGCTTCCTGCAGTAGGAGACTAAGCCATCTTACCAGATTTTTCAGTGCGTTACTGGATCAAAGTATGTCACAAATGCATTTTGGATGCTTTTCTAGGATGTGGTTTCTTGCAGATCCTTGCCAAAGGCAAGCAGAGGGTTCAGGTGCCAAGAAAGGCAGCGGAGTGAAGAGACCCCTCTGACCCATAGGCCATTATTCAGTCAAACTATGTCCTGTGCAAACTCCATTGAAGTGAACAGGAGCTAGTCAAGAAAGCAGGCTCGTCCTCTTTTGCAGAGCTCTTGTTCGTTCCCATGAGACTTGTGCAGGAAAATGTCCAGCTTAATCCTTGGGCCTCCAAATGCCCCAGCAGCTGACTGGCCGAGGCTCACTGCTGCTGGCACAGTGGTCCTAGATAGCCTCCTTCTCCGTGCATTTTCCCAGTCCTCTTTCAAAACCATCCAAACAGCCCATCCTGTGGAACTGAATCCCATACTTTAGCTATGTACTCTGTGAAGAAGTCCTTTCTTTTTATCTGTCCAGAATCATCTTCTTTTCAGCTACATAGGACGGCCCTGAGTTTTAGCATCATGGAAGAGGGAAACAGATGGGTCCCTCTCCTTTTCTCCACACAAGGTATAATTGTGTTTGCCTCTACCTTGTCTCCCCTCACCATTTTTCTTCGCTGGACAGTCACCTCTGGAGGGAGCTAATGGGGGAGGGTGTCCCTGGTCCTTTAAACATGAGCCAGGGTCGTCACCTTTCATTGACGCTTTTCTTGTGGGTCATCCAAGGAACACTTCTGTTGCTGTGTTCGGATTCCAGGCGGGCTTTGCAGTCAACAATGATCAAGGATGGGCTCATCCTGTGGCTGGTGGATGCACTCAAGGATACAGACAGCATGTCGGATTACACCTTGGCCTACTCAGTCGCCTTGCTCATGAACCTCTGCCTTCGGAGCTCAGGTATCAGTCATACCTCAGATTCAGCTGAAACTTGCCATGCCCCCACCCATTTTTCAGGCTGTTACCATCCGTTCAGTTAATAGTTACAAACTGCTGAGAAGGGTTATTCTAGATATGGCTGAGGTGTTGATGTGGGGTGGCTTTCAAAAATTAGCGAGCTTAACTTTGACCTCTTGGAATCCTACTTGTTTGTTTTATACCTCCACAGGGAAGAAAATGTGTGTGAAAATTGCAAACGAGATACTCAAAGTCCTCTCAGATCTCCTGGGCCATGAGAATCATGAGGTATTTTTATAAGTGTACAAAAGGGAGTGAACAAAGATGTTAACGGCCTTCAGAAATTAAAACAGTTTGCCTTTTATTTATTCCCCCCAAACCCTGGATGATAGTCACTTGATGGCTGCTTGATGCTTTTCATCTTCTAAAACCCTCTGGATCCAGCAAATGCACGCCTCCTCTCTCTGTCCCTCCTTAAAATTCCCCAAATGGTCGGAGGAAAAGGAATGTCTGACAGCTGTGTCATTATAATCGAGCCCATTTGGACTTCAGGCTGCCAGTTCCTGAGATTATTTTAACATCCTTGAAAACTATTTCTTTGAACCTCAATTGGATCCTGAGATGCTGTACTCTTTGTCCTGCTGTCCTTCTGCAGATGCCCACATGTGGCCTTGTTTATTCCAGATGTCAGCATCTGGAGAGGTCCGGACAGGCAGTCCATCCCCTTGACATGCTTGCAGGACGGTTGGAAGACCGACTGTGCTATATTAAAACAAGCCCTTTAATATTTAAGTACTTACTGCTGACTGAGCCCAGTAATGGCCTGGATGAGGATGAATAATCTGTAAGATTAACCCCCCTGAGACAATGGGCAGCTGTGGTGGGATGTGGGGGGCTCGGTGGACCAGCCGGCTGAGGAAACCAGCCCTGGATGGGGCCGCGCTGCCTGGGCAAATTTGTGGTTCGGGGACCCAGCAGTGTTCCTCATTGACCAGGTGGCAGCTGTGACTTGAAACGTCTGAGGCCAACTTTGGCTGGCTTGCCGACTGCACCTACTGCGGGGAGATACGAGTCTCGCCACTGACATTCATGCCATCGTGATTCTGTATCAGAGGACGAGTACCTTGCCTCACATGTTGGTGCTCTTGGAGACACAATCCAGAAACGTGAACTGGATCATAATTCAGTTGCCTGGCTGTTGTTGGGTGTAAGTTGGCATGGCACTGATTCACCTGTTTTGAAACAGTGTAGCTGGCTTGCAGTTCCAAAATCCTACTGCCGGGATGGGAAGCTTCTCCTTCCGAAGATACTGGACTACACCTTTCACCCTCCCAGCTGGTTCTGGAGCTTCACAGCCTCTGGGGAGGGCACAGGCTTCTCACCCCTGCCCTAAGTTAAATTTTGACAAGTTCTTCCTTGTTTTAATCCCTGCCCCCATTTCCTTTCCCTTCCACTGGTGTCTTTCCTGCATTTGCTTTTTATTGCGATGCCTTTGGGTAGAGGAAGCCTGTCCGTTCATCTTTTGTAAAGTGCCATTTACATAGGTGGTGCTTTCCTAAGAAAATGCATAGCATTCATGCATGGAATGCAGGGTGCTAGCTTTGATCTTTGACCCTAAAGGGAAACAGGTCCTGAATATCTCAGCCAGCACCTCCGGCCACCCCCTGCTCTGGAATTTAGAGCAACCTGTGTACATTGCTCTTGGATGCCAGATTGTCCTCAGCTGGGAGTAGGGCTTTCTCAGTGGGGAGTCCAGACCTATGAAATATCTCCGCCCAGGAATGTTCAGTGGTAAATTTATTTCACTTGTGTCCTTTCAGAGGCAGGAGACTTTTTTTTAAAGATTCTGCTGCACCTTCAGAAGTTAGGTTCTTAACCTGGTGAACCATTGTTCGCTTGTTTGTTTATTAAAACATTGGTATTGCGTATTTATTTATTTAGTATATATTTATTTATTAAAAGCTTTTCTATCCCGTCCCCTACAAAATGTCTCAGGACGTTTGTTCTCAAGTAACAAAGGCAGCTTGCATCAGTTTAAGATCAGCCCTATAATCCTAAAAGCAGCGAAAGGGCAGCAGATACAAGCAGAAGCCCAAAGACAAAAAACAGGGGTGGCCCATTCATGAGGCATTCATGCCAGCTCAGGCAGGCTCTCTCATTAGGGCCAGAAGGCTCACGGCAGGGGCTGGACAAGCCTCCTGGGGCAATGGCTTCCAGGGCACGTGCACCAAACACAGAGGGTGGCAAGGCATGCAGGAGAGCCGTCCCAGGTAATTGTAGAGGATGGGAAGGTACCAGTGGGAGCAGAGCCTAAGGGTCTGGGTCCAACACCTCGTGCTCTTGGTTTTAACAGCAAAGGCTGGCACTTTGAATTGTCCACAGAGCACTGCGTCTCTTGCATTCCGCCAACTTTCATGTTTTTGTAACTGTTTTAATGTCAGGCATACTGCTTTGGGGAAACTGAAATGTCATAACTAAAACAGGCAGTGTGTCCTTCCAAGGGCTTCATGGGCGACCTTCCAGTGCCCCTGTGAGGTGGGTCAAGCTCTTCTCCCCCATGTTGCAGTTTGGGGGCAGTGGTGGGAAGGGTCTTGGCTTGCCTGGGGTCTCCTGACCGCACAGCAGAGGCGGCATCTCACCTGGGGGCTTTCTGGATCCTGTAATGCACTCTTGAGCACTGTGCAAGTCCATGGGGCCCATTAGCAGTGGAAGGCACTGCTGGAGAAATGATCCTGAAGTCGCGACACTAGAGGACAGAATTCTGCGTCGGCTAAAAGTGGTCCGTGTGTTGATGTTCTCTTCCCTTGCAGATACACCCTTACGTGAACGGGGCGCTTTACAGCATCCTCGCCATTCCTTGTGTACGAGAGGAGGCCCGGGCGATGGTGAGAGGCTCGCTGTGCAAAATGTGACACTTTGGTGACAGAAAGCTGTACTTAAAGCTCAGCCTGTTAAAATGGCTTTACGAGTCTTCCATTACCGTACCTGAAGTTGTTTTTTCATCACTTGTCTTTCCTTCGAAAGGCCTCTCGCTTTCGTGCAGGGGTGGGTAACACATCTATGGTGCAGGTGCAGATTACCCCCTACTAGGCCCTTTGTCAGCTGGGTGGCCTGAGTGGGAGCGGCTGTGCCCCAGGGACATCATGGGGTGCGGCCACACTTACTGGCATCTTCTCCCTGCTGCCAGCCCATTTCGCCTTTCTCCGCACGAAGAGAGGCAAGGAGCTCCGTATTCTCTAAAAACAAAAAACTCTGTGTGTCTTCCAGGGTCTCTGGCTTGCTCCGCCCTTTCCAAGCCAGGCCCACAAGGGTTAGGAATCCTGGCCTGTTTGGGAGTTCAGCCAGTTGTGCCAAGGGAAATGGAGAATGACCAGCAGCCTCGGTGCCCCGTTCCACAAAGAAGAGCTGCAAGGTCATTGTGCCGGCAGGCTGAGCCAGTGCCGCTCCTTGCAAGGAGCTGCCTGTGATAAACTGGGGCCTTCATGAAACAGCAGTGCATTGTGAGGGAGGGCGTCTATCACCCACCACTCCTCTAGCTGCTCATGATGAATTGCTTTCTGCAGAAATGCTGCCGTCTTTGAGGGGAAGATAAGAATACCCCACAACTAGATAGCTTGACAAAAGCGGGTATCGCTTCTGATTTGTGCCATCTCTCCTCTTACACCTGTGCCACTGCTCGAAATCCATTCAAGGGTACACCTGATGGATGCTTGTGCTTTTGCCTGATTCCTATCTTATCTTCCCTTGCCTATTCTAAAAAGCTATCTCTGAAGACACAGGGTTTTTTAATTGGCAGTTGAAAGGGTTTTGTTTTAGAATTGCCACTCATCATCCGCTCTTCCTGTATCACTTGAGGAAAGACTTGAAATTCTGTTTAGAATCCACCCTCCCCTGGAGTTTTGATCTCCCATTTACTAGAAGGAGAGTTGAATTACAGCCTGGGCAACTGCACCCAGGGACGGGGTGGGGGCGGGGGGAGGCAGCCGGTGGTCCCTCTCCATTAGTGTCATCAGCCCCATATTAGGACCAGCTATCACAAAGCTGGCTTTTGTGGGTTTCCCCCTTTCTTTTGCCCCGTTATTTTCCTAGCATCAAGCATGGGGGAGGGTTCTGTAACACTCAGTACTTGGTGATTTTTAGTTGCGCCTCATAAAGATGCTTTGCAGTGGTTCTCATTGAGCTTGCACAAGAGGCAAGTAAGGGGGACCAGGATATAAATCCCAGTTTGATTTGCAAGCTTTCACTATCCTGCACAAGCTTCATATCTAGGGAAGGAGGAGAAGCCAGTATGTCATCTGGAAAGCACTTGAATACTGAGATCTGCATTTCTCAGAATTTGCAGTGGGAATTTGCAAGGAGAAATCAGTTTCTCAGCTTTTACAACTCCAGCACTACATTTGTTCAGGAAGAATGTGCACAAAAATGCACATACGAGATGAAAGTAGGCATAGAGCACATTATTTCAGGGAAATACTGTTTGTAAAAAGTGTACTCTAGGAAAAATGGGTACAAAGTGCATATCTTGGGGGAAATGTGCATGAACGTGCATTTAGCTGCAAACCATTTTAGATTTTGCTTTTGCTAAACTTGCAGACTTGTGCAGAAATAGGCCAAAATGAAGTTCAGCTTGTTAAATGAGAAACTGGGGAAACGAAAATTGACAGATTTGGGTCGTTCCTATTTGTAGGAATATTCAAGAGGGTGGAAAACTACAATCCAGTGCAGTCTGAATATGAATTAACTAGAGAAAAATTTGCCTTTTCTCAGAAGTAAAACTTATAAGACTGCAGCTCCCTTCCTGTGTAAATAAGCATTTGATTAAAAGCAGAGAAATGTCAAAAGAAGCAGATTGTCTTGGGACAGATGGGCAAGTACAAATCTAACTCTTGCATAGATGGGCAAATGTAATTTATTGAGTCTCCTTCCACACAAAACCTGATTCGACATCTGCTCTGCCATTTCCAGTGTCCAGATGGGGAACTGAGGCCAGGGGTCGGGCTCAGAATACCTGCTGATCGCCTTCTCCTCCCAGCCTCTGCTTGGTCTGGGTGACAACAATACGTCTGTTGTAGATGCCGTGGAGGGCTTCTTTTCTTCAGGATGAGTGACGGCCCTTGTTGGCAGGCGGAACAAAGTGCCTGCAGAGGGACTTGCTGCAAAGTTTCTTTCTGCAGCCAGGCAAACAGTGTGTGTCGCCCGTGAAGTGACCCTGCGCTGGGTCACCCCTATAAACCGCTCACAGGGCTGTGTTTTCCATCCCTTCCAGGAAATGGAAGACATTCTGCGGTGCTACATCGAGGAAGGAAATGCCAACATGATCCAACAGATAGAGTTTATTATTAAGCAGCTTAAATCAGGTCAGAGGGAAAAGCAGTCATTAGGGTGTGAATCTGTCATGCAAAGCTTTAAAGTACTTGTATTAAATACATAAATAAACAAACTCATGGAATAGGACAGCCATAAGTGGAGGCAGGCTTGGGACTTTTAGATTTGGACGACCTGTGTTTTAGGGTCAATTCACAGCCGTTTTGCAGTGCCATGCCAACCACTGTTTACTTAGAAATAAGTCCTGTTGATTTCAGTTGGACTTAATTGCAGGTCATTGTCCTTAGGATGGCAGCCTAGCAGCTTTTTCCCTTCACCTGCTTTCTTAGAGGTAAACCACTGAGTTCAGTGGAACTTACCCGCAAAGAAGGGTTCTTAGACTTGCAGCATCATGGGATAATTCTAACTGTGTTTCCTTGTAAATTAATCCTGCCAATTCAAGTTGAACTGAATATCTGCCCTCCTGCCCCTTGAGATCGGCGGCAGAGGCCCTTCTCCGAGAACCCTCCGTGAAAGATATTAGGAGGGTGAGTACCCGGAGGAGGCCCTTCTCTGTGGTGGCGCCCCACTTATGGAATGCACTCTCCAGAGAGGTCCGCCTGGTGCCGTCGTTATTTGTTTTTTGGCGCCAGGCCAAGATCTTTTTATTTAAACGATATTTTAATAATTGCTGATTTTATTTATTGGTTTTAAATTATCAAGCCAGGGTGTTTCCAGATTTTATTTGTATGTATTTGTATAGATATTTATTTATATGTTGGAAGCCGTCCTGAGGCTTATGCGAATGGGACAGCATACCAAAATTCCAAATAAATGAACTTATTTCCGGGGAAGTCCACTTGGGACTGCATCCTTAAGGCTGGTGATTGCATCTCTGTCCATCATAGATCATTTTGCTCTGCGATCATTTCACCCCATGGATGAGCATGATCTGACTCAAGTTTTTGAAATTCTTTGCAATGGCAGGTCGAGGGCTGCCATTTGACCATAGACAAAAATAGGCATACGGTCCCTCTGCAGCCGTCTGAACTGCACTGTGACCTGAGACGCAACCTTTGCCACTGCGCCACCCAGACTACCTAAATATTACACTTCCACCTAACTCCAGAAAATTGCAAAAATCTTCACAGGCCATTTTTGCCCTCCCCTCCAGAATGGTGAAACTCACTGTACTGCGTGCACGGGGGCTTGAGCAGGAAGACAGTCCAGCCTGGATCGTGCCCCAAGAGTGTAAGAACATCCACTGGGTTCAGCCTGTGTTGGAACCTGCACTTTTGGGGCTGAGGAGGAACCAGATTAAATTTAGTGAACTGGAAACAAGCAGCTATGCCAGTTTTCTCTTATACTACTTGTTTTCTTCCAGAAGATCCACTGGATGAGGCCGAGTCTGATGACGAGGAGAAGGAAGACAATGATGAAGTAAGTTTTGTGAGCTAGCCAGAGGAAAGTCCAGATGTGTTTCTCAGGTGCGTAGGCTGCCCTTCCTCCAACAAACAGGGTGGCATCCGTGAGATTGGAGTCCCCTCTCCTCCCGGCAGGGTTCGGAGGAAGCTTAAGGTTCCTCTCACTTGCCTGGTTCTTGTCTTCCCACAAGGAGGAGGAAGCTGGAAATAAACCAGTTGCCTGTTCCATTCCCTGGAAATGGGTGACTTTCCAAAGGCCAATCCTAAGCAGGGTTCCCTTGCTCCGGGGTCAAGAAGTGTAGCTTTTCTGAGCCACTGGCTCGCTTCAGCTCACGATGCGCGTCAGGAGATGATTCTTTTCTTGAGTTCATTGTCTTTGCTATGGACTACTGTGATGTTTATGCTGTTCTTAGATAAGAGCTGGGATTTTCAAAAACTCGGTGGAGCCCAATTTAGCAACTTGCTGTTCCCTTGTTGCTGTTCAGCAAGCTAGATTTATTATGTTCTATTGTATTTCAATGTATCTTATTGTGTTGTAAGCTGCCCCGAGGCTTCGGCAAGGGGCAGCATAGAAATGTTATAATAATAATAATAATAATAATAATAATAATAATAATAATAATTTGCTGTTGCTGCCATTTAAAGTAACGCTAATTGGCTCCTTGCATTTTGTGCTTGAAGTGAGCAAATTTGGAAGCCCGGATTGGTCCCAGAAATAGCTGGGTCCTGATCTCAACTTGGTTGACCCAGCAATTGTCCCGCATGATTACTGTTTCTGCACCATCCCAACTTCCTACACGTCTCTTTTCTGAATTAGTCTCATGGGTGCTTTCAATGAATCAGGCACCACGAAGTCAGCAGGGTGGCATCATGACAGTTCCCCAGATAAGATGGAGGTCAGAAACTGTCCGCGAATGACGCCACAGCCTGTCAGGGCTGCGTCACTGCAGGCCACTGATGTGAGCACAGCCGAAGACAGTATGTGAATATTTTTTTGCAGGGAATCTTGAACAATCTTCAAGGAGTGTTTACAAAGAATGAGGAATATGTCTCTCTCACCTTTAGACTTCTGTTGTTAACAATCCCACCTGACTGACTTGCAGAGCAGGTTTCGGGGATGACGCACTGCCAAAATCCTTTGTCCTCTTGTCAAGGGATGGGACCAGAACACTCCTTTCTTTGGCTCTGCAGCCCCAGGCCAGTCAGAAGGTGAAATGCAGTGGTGGGGTTTGAGCAGGGAGGGTGTGAGCTGCTTCTCTGGCCAGTGGATAGGGCCAAACTGCTCCTCTGTATCCTGGGAGAAATGTGCCAGAAGCCAAGGCCAGGGTATGCTTCCCTTCTGCTCCGTAATCCCAAGGCAACTGGGGCTCTGCAGCCATTCCTGGTCTGCCAGTACCAGTGCCACTGCAGTACAGCCAAATTCCTGCAAAAATTCCATGGTGAAGTTTTGTTTACAAATAAAGCCAAAATTGTGAACTCAACATGACGGTTTGCGAAGGACAGGCCTCCATCTGTGCAAAGCACAAAAGGAGGGTTCTGTGGGCTTTTGAAGGAGAAATGGAGCATGTCCTCGTGAGGACACACACGGCAGTGGCAAGGGTCGGCTGCGCAGAATTGGCGAAGAAACTCCACAGCGCGGGCCCTGCTGCAAATGGAAGGAGAGGTGCCTGAGCACGTTCCTAGGTCACCTTTCCCCCTACAGAGGCCCTTTCATCCACCAGAATGGGAAGGAAGCCAGTTCTGACCATCACAAACAACTTGTGTAAGATCTTGCTGGCACGTCAAGTAGCCCGAAGCCATTTCGTATTTCATATGCGAGAAGACTGGTTTCCGTGCTTCCATCTCCCTCTTTGCTGGCATGGAGTTCTCAGAGCTAAAAGTAGTATGAATGAGCCTTCATTGACTGTGAACCATGTTATTATTTTTTTCCTTTCCTTTTGTGATCTCAAACCAGGATGAGTTGGCAGGTTGTTGAAGCACGATAAAAACTTACAGAATCTGTTTCGCCAGAGACTGTTGTGAGGCAGCAAAAACGGATGTTTGTACTGCAGACTGCAGGCTGCTGCAGTGACCGAGAGCCCCCCCATTCACTCTGTTTTGTATTCCACAAAGCTGTGGGTTTTGGTTCCCAGGTACATCTCTCAACGATATAGGACAGGTTTCCTTCCTTTTAGGACAAGGGCCGAGAGCATTTCCTGTGGTAGAAGCGTTCCGATCTGCAGCTGGCCTGGCAAGCAGCAGCTGTAGAGTTTCTGTGCAAATGCATTCGCATTTTCAAGGGCTGTTGGCTTTCCAGCAGGAAGCTTTGTCTGATGCAGGTCTGTGGCTCACGTCTGGCATACGTGGTTCGGATTGATTTCTGAAGCTTGCTCTTTGCTTGCTTATGCAACAATCCCGCACAGCCGTTTGGATGCGACTCCATACCCTCAGGGCCGCCCTTTGTGGCTGAGAAGGGCTTTCAAACCAAGGGCAGCACACTGTCTGTAGATGAATCCAACAGAAGTCCTACTTGGAGTAGACCCATTAATTGGACGAGACATAGGTTATTCATGATCTTATCCTGGGTCACCCTGGGCCAGTTGATCACCGTTGGTTCTCACTGTTCCTAGGTATATTGTGTTCTTAGGTATATTGACACTTGGCCTGATGTGTCAGAGATGTGGATGGCTGATTTTGCCCTGAAGGGAGCCTGCTGTAGTCAGGGAGCAAGATTAAGGGATTACTCCAGAATGATCTCTCCTGCGGTTGTCTGTGTTTCCTGAGATCGTGAGTGGGGCTTGCAGCCAATTTTCTGCATGGCAGGGCAGCATTGTGTTAAAAATGGGTATTCCTTTAGCCGTAGTCCTGCTCCTGTAACACCATCCATGTGGCATTCTCTTCCAGTGCAAAAAGAGCTGCCCACCAGACCATTTCTGAAGAAACTGGAGATAAAGAAGTATTATTATTATAATTTCTCAATGCAATAAAACCCCATGAAAAGTAACATTAAAAAATTAGAAACTGTGAAAAGTGGAGATCTTCCCTTATCTGTAATGAGAGATCAGAGATAAGCAGTAATTGCATGTGGGCAGTGCTAATGTGGGATGCGAGTTGGCACAGTGGTTTAAACTGCTGTGCTGCTGGGCTGGTTGATCAAAAGGTCGCCGGTTCGAATCTGCACAGCGCCCCAGCTCCTGCCAGCCTTGCAGTTCGAAAGCATGCAAATGCAAGTAGATAAACAGGTACCACTTTGGTGGGAAGGTAGCACTTCCATGCAGTTCGGTGTTTAGTCATGCTGGCCACATAACCACGGAAACGGTCTGCGGACAAACGCTGGCTTCCTCTGCTAGGAAGCGGAGATGAGCACCCTCCCGAGAGTCAGGCGTGACTGGACTTCACATCAAGGGGAAACCTTTACCTCTTTAGTGCTAATGTGGGGAGGGGGGAGGCCTTATATGCCCCTAGACCAGGTGTGCATGCATGTGTCCCATGCCTCCCACGACTTGTGCATCTTCCTATCCTCACCCACTGTAAATGTATATGGACCTTGGACCCCACAGCAAACTTGGATTTGGCCCTTGGGGAGAAAACGCTTTGTCTAACAACAAATCTTAGATGGTCTGGTTCACTCTTGTCGTTTCCAGGGTAAGAAAATCCTCAACAAACTGCTTTTTCATTCATTTAAAATCTTTGTAGGCTGCCTTTTAGGGCAAAATTCTCTCAAGGTGGCTTTCAATATGTAATTTTATATAAACAACAATACATGTTAAAGCCATAAAACACCATTGTAATCAGATGAATAACTAATAAGAACCAGCAATAATATCACAAAAGTGCCGTTCCTAGGTGGAGAATGCTGGGAAATGCAGGGGTTCTTAAAATGTCCAGATCTGCAAAGGGCTGTATCTTTAAACGACTCAAGTGTCGCCCAGTTAAAACACCCCCCCCCCAAAGAGTATAGCTAAAATCACATCACACATACAGCAGTCCAGCAAAAGCTGTATTCAAAGGAAGGTGATTGTCAACAAACGGCCGGCCTGCAGGGAAGTGGCCGGCCTCATCTTCCCCAGGCTGACTGTAGAGATGACAATGGGGCACGAGAGCTGTGTGGAACTGCGAGGGGTTGGCAGAGAGGCACGAGCAGACCCCGGCTGGAATGGGAGTGATGGCGCGGTGCCTGCAAGCCGCTCGCCCCAGTGGCTGCCTGGCACCCTCCCACTTGGAGTCAGTGCGGCCCCACAGGCGGGACACACAGGTCCACCGAGCATGGATGGCCGCCACCGCCAGGCCTCACTCGAAGGCTTCTGGGGGAACTTGGCTATCGGGAGCAGTTTATCGCAGGGCCTCGCTGTGTCAATGTGACATTTAACACTTTGGCAAGTAATCCTGTTCGAATTGCACTGGTATAATCCTTGGATTATAATGCTGGTTAGTGGGGCATGAAATTTTAAATGCCAGCAGGACTACCGGGTGGATGGTGCTTTTTTCAGAAAAGGAAAGAACTGTTTGTTGAGCCACGTTGTGCTTTTGGAAGGCAGGAAACAATTAACGTGCGTTGAGGACATCGCCTTCAGGAGAAGGCGCTTCAAGGATGTAGAACCAGCCTGGAGCCCTGTGCCTCCACCCCATGCCAGGGACTTTCAAACGGACACTAATCCTGGGAGGCTCAGTTTCTGCCTGTGACCTTTCCGTGCATTCTTTGGTTGGGCCAAGAGGCAGGGTGTCATTCTTCTCCCTCCCAGTCTGGGCCAAACGTCAGGGCTTCACATAAGAACATACATAAGGAGAGCCCTGCTGGATTAGACCAAGCCCTTCTAATCCAGCATTCTGTTTACACGGGAAACCCACAAGCAGGAGAAGAATGCAGCAGTATCCTCCCCTCCATGTTCCCCAGCAACTAGTGTACAAAGGCGCGCTGCCTCTGAACCTGGAGGTAGCGCAGAACCACCCAGACTAGTCGCCTCTGATAAATTTTCTGGTCTGCTTTAAAGCTGCATTTTGTGAAAGTCACTACCATCTCGTGGGGTTTCTGCTCTTCGTTGTTATGATTTTTTTTGTTTTTTAGGGGTGTCTGGGATGCCAGGAACAGAAAATACAGGTAGCGTTTCTTCACATGGACCTGGTGACCCTGAGATCCCCTCAGTGCATGCCTTGAGCCCCATCTGCCCTGATGCTGAGCCTTAAACTGGGGCTGGGTCTGAGAGGAAAATAGGGCAAACACACCCTTACAAGAACGCAGCAGATAAAGTGAATTGATTCTTGCAGACTGTGCTTGCTATCCTCAGAGGTTCAGTGTAAATCTGAAGAATTCTGGTCCTGGCAGGCTCTTTATTCTGTATGAGCCCTGAAATCATGAACCAACGGGTGTTTTATTGTTACTATTAATGTGTTGCGTTTATGCCATGCTTTTTTTCCTCTTGCAAGGAACCCAAAGCAGCTTACATAGTTGTACTCAGCTCCGTTTTTATCCCCTCAACAACAACCCTGTGAGAAAGATTAGGCTGAGAGTCTGTGACTGGCCCAGAGTCACCCAGTGAGTTTCATGGCCAAGTGGGACTCAAACCCACATCTCCTAGGCCCACAGTCTGCATTCTGACCACCACACCACCCTGGGTTCATATCTACAGATGACTGGGACTCAGGCAATTTGGGTTCTAGTCCCTGTGGAGCCAACTGGGTGACTTTAGCCAGTCACAAACTCTCACCCCAGCCAACTTCACAGGGCTGTTGTGTGGATAAGATTGAGAGCAGGAGGAGGAGGATGATATAAGCTGCCCTGAGTTCTTCAAAAAAAGAGAGAAAGTCAGGATATAAATCAAATAAACAATGACACAATCCCCATCCCGCTCTGACCAAGCCGCTCCCAGCAAGTGCCAGTGGCTGCCGCCCATGAAGTGCCCAGTAGGTCTTGTGGGTGGCTGGTTTCAGCTTCCTCACTGATACGAGGAAGCGGGCTCTGCCTCCCTCCACCCCACATGGTGCTTGAGGTGGTAGTCCAGCATGACTGGAGGGCCCAGGCTGAGCAAGGCTAGCTTAGTGCTGTGTGCAGATTTCTTTTTCTTCACATCTTCATCCCCTGTTGTCCCTTTCCCCTTCTTTTTGCGATCTCTGTTGTCTTTTCCTCCCTCCAACCGCTGAACTTCTGGCTGTAAGCTCCTTGGGGCAGGAACCTTTCATTTCGTCTTCTGCACCAGGCCTCAGATGGTGTTGAACAAATAGCAATTTTTTAAAAAATCCTTACACTTGGTGAGTTCAATTCCACACCCACCCCACTCCCCATTACATGAGGGGAGGCTCACAAAGATCCTGTATAACATTTGCTGTAAATTTCGAAATGAATATAATGTGTGTGGCGTGTCTGCCCGGCATTTAAGGTGTATAAATAACAGACTCTGAGAGTAGTTTCTTTGGCTGATGCAGTTGCTTAGTTATTTTGAAAGGCCGTTTTGTCAAAGCAGCAGTGGACATGAGTTAGAGTCAGTGGAGACTGGTTTGGCTGCCTGCCCCGTCTGCATCTGCTTTTCCTGTTCTCGCAAGCCTTGCCTTTGCAGGCAGCACCTCTTAAAAGCTGACATGGGATTGGACCCCTGCTGCTTGCAAGATAGGTTTAAATGTGCGTTCATCAATACAGGGCAGAGCAAATCCAGGAAGCCGGGGTTCCGCATTTATCTGTTTATCTGTCAACCTTTTGTTCTGGAAATGCTGAAACTGCCTTTGCCAACCTGGTACCATCCAGATGTTAAATCTTGTCCCCTGTTGCTGGTCCTGTGGGAATTGCAGTCCAGCACATACATACAGCCCCCACTTGTGGAAAGCTGTGCCAAAACATTTCAGCCAAGGATTTTTTTCTGTTTCTTTTCAGCCCTTCATCGGAAATGGATTTGGGCAGTGCACGGAAAAGGCCCGACCATTAGCTGGGTATTCTCCTTGCCAGCCAGCCTGGTTTGAGTTGGTTTGGACCCCATGGAGCAGAGGAGTTGCACTCACTTTCGTAGATGCTCCTGTGAAGCTCCTGGGGAAATAGGAGAGGCAGTATGGTGCAGTGGTCAGAGTGCTGGCCTAGGACCAGGGAGTTGCCGATTGCTCGGATCCCCATTCCCAAGTTCATTCGGTGACCCTGAGCCATTCGTCAGCTCACAGGGTAGTTAGGAGGGCAAGTTCATTCGCTTGCTTGCTCATTTGATTGTCTGTGGCATTTTATTCCTTCCTTTAACCAGCCTCCCATGCATGCTCAGACTGCAACACCCAGAATTCCCAGTCAATAGCCCTGCTGGATGGGAATTCTGGGAGTTGTTGCCCAAATGCCTCTGAAGGCCACCAGGTTGGGGGAGGTTGTTCTAACCAAAAAGACTTCCAGGTGAGCTCACAAATATAAGGAATGAGACAGTCCCCCACCCACAGGCTTACAGTCTAAAAGGAAATGATGTGAAAGGAAATGGGCTTGGAAGGGAAGAAGGAAAAAGCAGGATTCTCTCACTCAGAGAGCCGTAGAGTTGTGGGTAGGTCAGGCAGGGCACCCTGAGCACTTTCCAGGAGGGATGCGATGTATCTTCCAAGTGAGCCGTGCAGCGGGACCACCTGCCTCAATATGATAGGAGTCTCTAACGTACTGGACGACTCCGGTGTGTTTCCTGCTGAAGAAAACTGCTTTAGTTAATTGAGCACAAGCATCTCTATCGGTTAACTGATTAAAATGGCATTGCAGAATTCGTGCGTGGTGTTTGGCAGTTAGTAGTGAGGAAAATACAGCTTATCTAATGACTGAGGATGTCGCAGGATTGGACCTGTGCTATTGACATGCACATGGTGGGCCTGTCGTGAGCGGAGCCGGGTGGAGCCGGGGGTCAGACTAGATGGGCCGGGAGACCCCTTCTGACTCACCCTGTTTCTGTGTTTCTGTTGTGTTCCAAGGCCGAGATCGCTTGGGGTGAGGTGTGTGCTACCGTGGGCCTGGCTTTTCCAAGGTTATCTTGTTGGAGGGAGTGGAAGGTGGATGAAATCTGTGACTTCTGCAGCACCCGGGCCACTGTGGGAACGGAGGTTTAGCGCAAGCGGAAAAGTAGCGGGACGCAGTGCTCGGTGCCTCAGCCACACGGCCCCTTTCTATCCCCTTTCCACCGCGGCCTTTTTCTTAGAACCTGCCCTGCAAAACCGCTATTTGTTTATTTAAAGTTGTAACTGCTCATTTTTTATTGAGCACCGTGTCACAAGGAGTAACGGGAGAGATTTGCAGAGAAGGAGCCGCTCGGCAGAGGGAAGGACAGGCACAGCCTTGCAGCTGCTCCTGGCCTTTCCAGGGGGTCCACTCCCTCGACTGGACAGCTGACCAGGCTCAGGGTAGCTGATCCTCTGCTGCCTTGTTCTGCTTGTTCTGACAGGAGGATCACAACAGCATGGAAGCGGACCTGGACAAAGACGAGGTGCTGCAGCCTCAGCCGGGGGAGCTGTCGGGCGAGAAGCTCTTGACCACAGAGTACTTGGGGGTGAGTAGCGGACGTGAGGGCAGTTCTGGGGCGGGGTGGCTTGGCTTCCTCAACAGAGGTTTTAAGGGCATGCTGGGGGGAGTTCTCCCAAAGCTGCTACGCAAAAGAGCTTGTCGGTCCCCAGGGACGAAAGCCCAAAGGGCAACATGGCACTCCCGAGCCAATCCAGCACCGCTGCAGAGCGATCGCTGCGGGCGCCACTCGTGCAGCTTCAGATCACAGACAGGCAGCCTTTTGGGGCGTGGCGCATCTGGTGGTTTGAGCGGCTGTGCCGGGCACCCCCACCTAACGGCTGCCACAGAGGCATGGCAGAGGACCGAGGACCTGCCCGATAGACCGTGTGCGAGGCAGGGACAGGGCCCGTGCCTCCGCACACAGAGCAACTCCTCTGCGCCGGCGGTTTGCAGGACCAGCAGAAGCATGCGTCGCAGCGATCCCCGCTGGTGTGGCGGGAAGATGCGTGCACCGTGCGGCCTGCCCCGTCTCAGCGCTCGAGGAAGGGTGCACAAGGAGACCGGCACCAATGCTTGGCCGAACCATCTCGTCCAGCCCCCTTCCCATCGGGCAAAGCAATCGCTTGCCAGTGTGCCACCAGCTAGGCTTGAAGGCAGAACTCTCTGCCCTCGTGTCCCTTCAGTAACTGACGTTCGGAAGTAAACGCTGTGGAGCCAGGAGGCACCATTATTTTTCTCAAAAACTTGTCACTGTGGGTCACCCTGTGCTCGGTGCACCGGTTGCTTTTTCTGCCTCTGAATTACAGGAAGGGTCCGTGTTACTGTCTATTGCAACTGTATTTTGGTGTGACTGATTTGTGCCTACCAGGACCATGGTGGTGAGGGCCAGTCTAAAAAAGAGTTCTAAAAAAATGACATAATATAATGTCACGCAGTCCCTTCCAAAGCTGCCTCAGCCAGGGATCGTTGCCACACCTTGTGGTGTTAATTCCATGTTCGCCACAGGGGGATGGAGCGGAGAACCAAGCAAGCAAGCAAACAGCGGCCTGGAGAGCTGAGGCAGCGGTCTCGACATCAGAGATTTTTGGCACCTGACAAAGGCTGCGTGGGATTCCTGGGAGGCCGGTGGCCAGACAGCCCACAATCGGTCGACACGTGGGTGGGAACAAACGGGGCCAGAAATCCAGCTGTGTGACTAGATCCCTACAAATAAAGCCATACTTTGCCATAACACCTGAATGCTCATCCTTCAAGCTGCTTGTATGCTACTTGACAGCCTAGGATTTCCAGCCGGCTTATATAAAAGCGCATTCAGTACAAAAACTAATACAAAAACCGTGCAAAGAGAAAATGTGCACGCGCATGTATTTAGAACAATAGATACCTTAAAATATGACCACAGGAGAAGTAAAACAGTGTGGCGGAGGATCAGTTTCAAGTCAGAAAAAAACTGAGTGAACAAATGTCTCGACAGGAGGTGGCTCCGTTTGCCGGGTTTCAAGTCTGGCCACCTTCCTGTGCATCCCCATTTAAAGCATGACTGCATTATGCCACATGGAGCGGGCCTCTGGGGAGCATACTGGGCCATCTATCCCAAGAATCTTGGTGGCAGAGTAACGAAGTGAACCCCAGCCACTTCTGCCTGCTATGTGGGATACATGCTTTCCCAGCATGCATTGCCAGTCATATAATTTATAAAGCTGCCGTTTCCTGTGAGGGAGCCTTTTAAATGGGAGAGACCAGAGCGAAGCCAGGATTTCCTGAATGCAAAGTATGTGCTCAGTTTTGCCCTGGACTAGTTTCATGAAAGTGAAAGGAACTCAGGCAGAAATGAAATGGCGACTGCTGCTTAATTCCAGTATCACAGTTGCTTGTTTCCAAACATGGCAGCCTCAGTTAGCTCGTTATGATGTGTTTCTTTTCATGATTCTGTAATGACAGTAACTTTTTTTTTTAGAGTAGGTTTACTCTGAGCAATCAGTCTCAAAGCGGAGGCAAACTTTGGTTTCAGTTTGCCATCTCACAGTGAAACAAAACAGACCTGTGTTACTGGTAGATGATCCAAGACTATTTAGGCCTACGGCAGGCTTCCCCAGCATGGTGTTCTCCAAATGCGCTGGACCACAGGAGCCAAGAGTCTAATGCACCTGGAGGGCGCCAGATTGGGGAAGATGGACCTGAAAGGAGCAGATGTGATCCATCTCTTCTTTCCTGCCTCCTCTGATCTCAGGGCAGCTGCTGGCAAGATGCAGACCACTTGTGCTCTCTGGTTTGCTCTGATCACCCCACTGGTTCATTTCCCCTGCTTGTCTTAGATAATGACCAATACGCCAAAAACGAAGAAGAAGCCAGTTCCTGGCATGCACCAGAGCATCGATGAGCCTCTCCAGAGACCTGTGACGCCCAGCTACCACAGGACCGCCTACCCAATGTAAGTCCGAGTGAACAAGGCAGTGTTAGGCAGACTTTAAGTACTGCTCTCGTTCAAGAAATGTAATTCAGATTTGTGGAAAGATGCTGATGAAATAAAAAATCCATTTTAGACAGGAGATTGCTTTTGCTTTGTTATTTGAAGAATTCTTCTTCAGCTTGACGGGTGCTTGGAAGATTTAGCCAGGATAGACTAGAAATCTATGCTCAGGTCTGTCAATTTGCTTTGATTCCATGAGACCCAGAAGGTGGTACAGCAGTCAGCTGAGAATGTCAGCTTACTCATCCACGTACTTTCATTTTCGTTATTAGTCCTTACTCTTGATGGTGCTGTGAAAGCTGGACCATAAGGAAGGCTGAGTGCCAAAGGATTGAGGCCTTTGAATTGTGGTGCTGGAGGAGACTCCTGCGAGTCCCTTGGACCGCAAGGTGATCAAACCGGTCAGTCCTAGAGGAGATCAACCCTGACTGCTCTTTAGAAGGCCAGATCCTGAAGATGAAACTCAAATACTTTGGCCACCTGAGGAGACGGATGGACTCACTGGAAAAGACCCTGATGCTGGGAACGATTGACGGCAAAAGAAGGAGGGGATGGCAGAGAATGAGGTGGCTGGATGGGGTCTCTGAAGCAGTCGGCGTGAGCTTGGGTGGACTCCGAGGATGGTGGAGGACAGGAAGGCCTGGAGGAATGTTGTCCATGGGGTCGCGATGGGTCGGACACGACTTCGCGACTAACAACAACTTGATGATGCGTGGGCGATGCTTACCGACACTCCAGAGTCTCCGGGGTCTGTGTCTAAATTCAGTGTCTGGGTCTTGCAGAAGGGGTTTTGGTACCTTGCCTAGCTCCTTGCTTTCCCTATGTTGGGCAAAACCAGGATGGAACAAAATTATAATAGTGCAGAATGGATTATCCAAAAGATGGCAGAATTGTGCAGACACAGGTCAGAGAATTCAGATTTTCTTGGCATGGCACTTAAATTGTCTAGTGTAGCCTTCTCCAACTTGACATCCCACAGAAGTCTTGGGTTTCCGCTCCCATAAATCCTGGCCTTTAGGCGTGGGCTGGAGATGGTGGGGGTTCTAGCTGGAAGGCAAGAAATTGGTAAAGGCTGCTCTAGCTGCAAGATGTTGTGTGAACACACACTGGAATATACACGTTAATGTCTGTGGCATATCCATAAGAACGCATTGTGCCATTGTGGTTCCCTCACCACATAAGTGCTATGGAAAAGCTGACAAAAATACCAAAATACTTGTGGTTAAATGTCCTTCCTTTGGGAGAAGTGCACATCTGTTTGGGGCATTTTAAGTTAGGAGGGGAGACTGGGAGGGTATCCTGCTTCAGGCAGTGCAGAGACAGAGAAGAAGGAAACCAACCCTGGAAATGGGTCAGTGCCAGAAGCAAGGTCTGAGAGCAGTCCAAAGGCCCACAGGACCCCAGATCCTCAAAGGAGCCCAAGCATGCAAGCCTGGAGGCTGGGGAGTAGATGCTGCTGCAGAGCTTTCGGCCTGGAACAGAGGCTGTGGAAGCTTGAGCCTTTGGAAACCCACCCAGGACGCAGCTGAGGGCCATCAGCCACCTGCGGAGGAGCTTACTCATGAGTAGCCATTTCCTCAGGCAGGCCCTTCTTCACCTGGTGGCCCACCAAACCTGCACCGTGACCGTGCTCCCTGCGACTGGGCACTTGCTCTGCTTCTGCCTCGGAACCAGAGAGGACCCAGGCGCTCCGAACTCCCTCAAGGGCCTGCAACACAGGCTGCTCCTCCGCGGCAGACGCTCACGCAGCCCTGGCTCATCCTCCATGGAGGGTTCTCCCAGAGGAGGCTTGGGAGTGGGCAGCCCGACGGAGCTCCAGATTGGAGTGAGGCTCCTTCCTCGGTGTCCAGACTTCTGGGCCGTCTTCTGACACTAACAAAAAAACAGTTGAAGACTGTCCAAGGGAATTACGTTCCTTGTTGATGGTAGGGTTTGGCGCCACCTGCTTCTTGCAGTCCTCTGGGCAAAGGGGGCCTTTAGCGTAGACTCTGGGGTTAAAAGAGGGCTCAACGCATCGGCACATGGCATCTCCCTTGCCCCTGAGACAGAGTCACCCGCCTCAGCATCTCTGGCTCCACAAGGTCTGTGGCATGCGGGTGCCACAAAAAGGCCAATTTGCGGTGTAAGATTTGAGAGCGCAAGTGCGAGAGAGGATGCACTGCTGAGGTCTTCTGGGAAGGCGTTTTAGGGCTCAGCCGCAAGGCCTGAGGCATGTATTGGAGCATGGAGGAGGCGAGAAGGTCCCAGGATATCCAGCAGTTAATGCAGATTCTTCAGCCAACTTGAGCACTAGTCCTTGGCCTCCAAGAGGATTGCGGTCAGATCTCTCCCTCTCAAGCCCAAGGCTGATTTAATGAGAAAAATTTGATAACCCACCTCTGCCTACAAGATACCCGGTGGACATGCTGCGGTGGCTGGTGGTTGGAAAGGGCAGTCCTATTTCAAGTGCAGGTGGATGGGGTCACTCCAGCAGCAGGGAAGAGCCATGCTTGGCCCCCAGAGAATGCAAGCACAATTCATATTGAAGCATGAAATGAGAGCATGGGGTAGCGGGGAGAGGAATGCTTTCTGCTTTGTGGCATTGCATTATTTCTCATTAAGAAAACAGTGGGTGAGGACCGGAGGGAAGCATAAAGCTACCGAATGGGATTCTTTTTAAAATCTGAAATATAAACAAATCACTGAATTGTTGGGGGCAGAGTGTGTGAGTTGTGTTGCCACTAGTGTTGCAGAGAGATACTTTCCCACATTTCTTGCACACGCATATTTCAGCTGGCATTTCTTCTGGAATAAGGGATTGTTAAGACACCCTCAAGGGCAAGTGTGTGGGCTCCAAGCCATCCTACTAACTTACCCAGAAAAGTCTCTCAGCCCATGGGCATGTTGCTACCGAATAGGGGAAAGAATCCTTAACCCCAAGAAACACGTGCAGACAGTAGCATTAACAGTCAGAAGAAGATGGGCTGCTGTTCTTCGTCGTGGCCTCTGTGCATCACACATATGGGTACTGCGCCTGCGCAGTGCCTTTGGCCGGAAGATTGATAGCTAACGGTTTTTGGCAGGAAGCTCTGCTCCCCCTCCCCCTTGTGGCCTATAAAGAGCGGAGCGTCCGCCATTTTGTTCAGTCTTTGCGACCGCTGTTCACTGTGTCTTGTGCCGCTTTCGACTTTCGCTTTGGCTATTCTTGGTTCTCTCCTTATATATTGCCCTTATACTACTTTCCCCTTTCTTCATTCCCGCTTCTGTGTAGTTTTTCTCTTGTTATTTCTTTCTTCGATCTATCAAAAAAAAAAAAAAAACCAAAAAATTTTTCTTTTCCTTTTCTCTTTTTTTCTTCTTCTTTTTCTTTTTATTCTTCTTCTTCTTCTTCTTCTTCTTCTTCTTCTTCTTCTTCTTCTTCTTCTTCTTCTTCTTCTTCTCTTCTGCGATGGCGCAGCGAGCGGCTTTCCGCAAATGTGTGGACTGCGGGTCAAAAATGGCACCTACTGACTCGCATGACCTACGCCTCCTCTGCCTTGGAGAGGGGCATAGGACGGATAAGTGCATTCATTGCCTAGCCTTCTCAAAGCAGGCTAGGAAGAACCACGAGAACCGGCTTCGGAGGCTTCTTTGGGATAGGGCCCTGATGCAATCAGACCCACTCGTCTCCATCCCAAAACCTGGCTCTACTTCTGTGGCTCCACCCTCATGCCCTTCGAATGAGGTGCGTCCACTTCGGTGGCCCCCTCTGCTTCACCAAAAAAGAGGCATGAGAAGCGGAAGCATGCCGAAGAGAAGCCGGCAGGCCATAAGAAGGCCAGAAAGGAGAAGGCCTCTAAGCCTCCAAAGAAGGCTAAGTCCACGGACCGTCCCCGACATCGGGACTCGGAGCCGACGGGACCCTCGTTACTGGTGGCGGTTACGATACCGACCCCGCCCGAACCGATCCTTCAGGAGGCCATGCGGGTTACCCCTCAAGGGTCTCCCTGACGTGCGGTCGACCTCCCGCCTGCACCCCTTCCAACTCTATGGGGGTCTATTTCGGATGGGGAAATCCAGGACTCCCCTCCTAGGGCGAGGTCACCGACACCGATGCCCGCGGTGACGTTGGAGACAGAAGCTGGCCTGTCCCCACCAGGGAATCGGAGGAGCCGCTCGGTAGAGCAACGCCCAGAGAGTTGGTGTCATCCCTACTACCAACCTTGGGGAGACCCGCTCTCTATGGGGTACTACCCTGCTCCCAGGGCGCGATCCTCACCTCCGCCCCGCAACCAACCGCGATCAGTGGATCCGAGGAGGGTGCCACCTCAATCCCCGCAAAGCGGAAGCAGCCGCTCCTTCTCACCGGCGGAGTCATCATCTTCTGCCCCACCATACTATGGTGCTGATTCAGATGACTCTGAAGTAGACTCAACCTCCCTGGACGTCGTGGTGACATCCCAGGATCCTGCGTCACCCGATGAGTCCCATGTCTCCTTCGCGGAGCTGATGTCGAGGCTCGTCCAGTCCCTGGACATCGACGCTGCCCAGCGCCCTGGACCGTCGACGGACAAGTTTTACGACGTCGTCCGCGGGGAGCAATCGACTTCCATCGTTCTGCCGCTTATAACCACCCTGCGGCAGGCGATGACGCAGCCCTGGGACCTACCTTCACATGCTCAGCCGACGTCCAGGAGGTATGAGTCTATGTACAGGGTCTGGGAAGAAGACATCCCCTTCCTGTTAAAGCACCCGAAACCAAACTCGGCGGTCGTCGAATCCTCGCAAGGCAGAGAGGCGAGAGGACATACGGCGCCGAGGGATAAGGAGGGCCGGAAAATAGATTCCCTGGCCAGGCGAGTCTGTGCTGCCTCGGGCTTAGGACTTTGCATATCCAACTATGAGGTGACGTTGGCACGATATCAATATTTTATCATGCAGCGCCTCCACAACGTCGCCTCCACCCTCCCAGACCACCAGGGTGACCTTGCGAAGGTCCTAAT